AAGTTCCTCTATCTTTTCTGCCGGCACCAGCTGCTGTGCGTGTTCAAGTGGATTATTTAGTCATTTTCATTCTTATCTTCAACAGTCCCATAATGTACCTCATTTTTAAAGCTTTGCCTCCAAATTCCCTAATGGTTAAAAGAGGCCTGATGATAGACAATACACATTTTTTAGAGAGGAAACAAAAAAGGGACAACTCATTTTTTACATTACGCAATAAAAAATGTTTACAGCAGCCGCCGAGAGCTTATTTGTTCATAGAGGTACCTGAGCCGTGCTCCTCTGCACAGCTGCGTATCCCTCCTGCCCCATGTGAGGGGAACGTTGCAATTGGCCCAGCCTGCTTCTAGCAGAGTTTTTTGGTCTTTTTTTTAAGGTAGCAGATGTAGTCTCCCAAAGAGATAAGACATTAACTCTCTGAGGGATTCCTTTCAGAAGAGTTCCTCTGTCTTTTAACAAAATGGATCTCTTCCTATTTTTAAGGCTTCACAGTGACGAGACTGTGATGCTATGCAATGTAAAAGACAGACTTGCATCAGTATATTAATATTAACAGGAAAACAGTCCACATTAAGTTCAAGCTTTTACCACAAGACATGTTAAGAGATGCACCTGGAGCTGACAGCATCATCCTCTTCTTTGTGAGGCTTAAACGTAACAGATGTTCATTTCTGTGCAAACTATTCGGGGTGCCGAATAGTGAATATTTTTCACATTTCGGTTATTTAGCACTCTTTCTTCAAATTTTAATTAACATTTAGGGGCAAAATGCTAACATATAAATGTCACATGTTTTTTCTACCTCCTATATCTAGTAAATCTATAAATCTTAAATCTAAAAAAAAAAAAAAGTACTAATAAACCACGCCCCTTTGGGGCTCAACTTGTGACTAGTCATTCCCCCATTCACACATACACTCATTCACTGATGATGGCAAACTACATTGTAGCCACAGCTGCCCTGGGCCGTACACTGGTGCCACCGGGCGCCCTCTGACCACCATCAGTAAACAATGCAGGTGAAGTGTCTTGCCGAAGGACACAACGACACTGAAAGCCAGAGACGGGGTTTTTAACCGTCATCCCATCGATTTAATGCTAAACTTCTACCTCCAACGCCACTTTCTTTAGGAATAAATCATTAAATATGAATAGAATTTGTTAATAGAACAGAAATTTTATATTTCTACAGCTTTTATAGTCTCTAGTTTTAAAACTGTTAGGAGTATGCTATGATTGGAACGTTCTTATAATGCAGGATGAAAGGGAGCTTTGAAAGAAAAAATCATTTTGGAACCAGAAGAGAGTTTTAAGGATACAGAGTTGACCATGTGCTGTTTCAGTAAAATAAAAGTGTTTATGCATGCTTATTTGCATTTCTGTTTTCCTCAGACAGTTGATTTGATCATGTTTTGTCCATGGCTCAGCTCCACTTCAGATCTAATTCTATTAATTATTTTAGGCAATGATGACCATATCACATCTGGCTGTTATGGGAATTAAACATCATTCAACTAAAACACCATCCCCCCTCCTCTGTTGAGTTTAATACTGTACATGTCATCCTGCAAGTCAGCTGTGCACCCTGGCAGAAGTCCTCTCTGTGCATTTTAAAGTAGATTAATTATGTGATTTGACTGCATGTTGCAAAGATAGTGTCATGGCCGCTGGTTGTCGCTTTCTTGTTTTCCTTATAAAAAGCAAAATAGACACAATTCCTGTGTTTTATTAGAGCGGTTGTTAAATGGTTTCCTATTAGGACAGAAATAACATCAGACTCCTGACGTTAGGAATGTATGTTTTGACAAGAAGCGAAAAAACAGTGTCACTGTAAGAGATGAGCTTATCTGCGATCAACCTGGGCCAACTAAGCAGATAAACAGAGAGCAGATAGCTATTCCCCGGCTGAACGTGTGAAGGGATCAATGCATTTCAGGAGAGGAGGAGATAGAAGACATGGAGCTTAGTGCACATGAAAAGGATACAATGGTATTTCTGTGTCAAAGGGGGAAACACAGAAATGTAATCCTCTGTTGAAAGCTTTCCCAGCTATAAAAACATCACACTATCAGTGGCTCATATGTTGGAGCAAATTGTTAGTAGTTTAAAGCATTTTAATATTGGGACTTTTTTTAGATTACATTGTGGCTTTTTCCTCATAATCATACAAACATCAAAACCATTTTTAAGCCAGATGTTGAACACTGTGTTCACCACTTACATTCTATGTAGTGTTGTAGTCAAGACCACATCAACCGAGAAACAACTGAAACAACACAATGCCTCTAAATGCCTTGGTCTTGTCTCTGTACTCCTTGGTCTCGGTTGGTGTGGTCTTGACTACAACTAATTCTGCAGAAAGTCCAAAACAATGTTACTATACAGTACACCGACACTCTGCTTTCTGTTACGTTATGGTCTTCGAGAAGAACATGGATCTGCAAAGGACAGATGGTGAGGGAAGCTGCTACTGTAAATTGGGCATTTGTTCTTCTCATTGGGTCACATAAACTAGAAGTTTTGTAAAATCAGATGTATTAATTTACATTAATCTTTTAATTGGTATCATGTGCATGTCTGTGTGTGTGTGTGTGATTGGTTATTAGACTTGCAGCCAGGATATCTGTTAAAAGAGAGCATTAAGACACTTCTTTAAAAGTGTAAGTTACATTCGAAGAGCTGTGTAACACCCCTTCTGAAACACCTTCACTGGCTCCATAAAGCAGCGCATCCACTTCAAGATCCTCCTCCACATTATAAAGCTCTCAATAATCCTGTTACCGGTAATAATATTAGTGAGATAATGGAGGAAAGAAACACAGAAAAACATCTAAAAAACATGCTGAACTTATATACGAGAGTTATATATATAAAAAAAGCTTGCATTCCACTACTTCTGAAATAAAAAATTTGTCCATGCTCACTACAGTTAAAGCAAAGCACAAATGTCTAATGCAGTTTATTTTTTACCCATGTTGATAATTAGTAGCAGAGAGGAATGAATATTTAAAAGTGTCATTTAAACAAAATTTATACAGTACTAAAGCTATAGGAATTGTATCTTCATCCGTGCTGCCGTTATGGAACTCATGATCAGGAAGTTGCAGCCACGTGCTAATATTTAAATCCACTGCATAAAATTGATTATGAGCAGCTATGACCATCTCTCTCTATAAGCAGAGGTTTAGGGTAGTGCTATCATTACACGGTTATAGCACCAACCCAAATAGTTGTGGTGTTAAAACAGCATGAATAAAGGAATGGCACTGTTAAATATCAAACTCTGTACACATAGTGGAATAAAATATACAAAATCGTATTGTCCAATGTATTAGTAAAATTAATTCAGGGAAATAAATGGATGCAAAATGTAACATTTAACTCTCAACTAGGCTTGTAAAATAAAAGTAAAACTATTATTCAACTATGTAAATATTAAAGTAAAAGGGAAAAATACTTGTTTAAAGTTGGAATCTGTTCAAACCAATTAACAATTCAATAAATCAAATGGTTACAGATTTGCCTTGAACATGAAATTGGCTTATTAGATGGGCTTACTTGGCTTAATTTTGTATTTTACAAATATAATTAATAATCAATAACATACTTATATGAGCATATGGATGTTGTTTGCATAGTGGGGATTTCAACATTCATGCAAACTAGGCGATAGTTTAAATGCTGGCTTTGTTAAAAATGTGCATTAACCCACGCAATTATTATCTTCATACTTTGGAGCTTGTGCTGAAATGTGGCATTAAAATGTGGAAATAGCAGCATTTCCTCACAACTCTGGCCAATCTGATTACTTATTATTATTATTATTATTATTATTATTATTATTATTATTATTATTATTATTATTATTATTATTATTATTATTATTATTGTTGTTATTATTATTATTATTATTAACATTATTATTATTATTACTTATTATATTATTGTTATTAGGTAATCTTTTTCCTCACCCAAAGAAGTTTTTCACCCAAAAGAAGGGTTCACTTTATAAAAAAAATATAAGATAATGCTGTAAAGAAATTAAGAAATTGTTTCTCTGTTTCATCTCCCCTGTACCACAGAAAAACACTGCAGATAGCCATTTAATTTGTTACCTTTCATGTATAAACCAAGAGTTTATTGACAGGGTTACTTCCTTACTGCATTTTGCATTATACAATATAGTCTGCCTTAAAAGGAAGGAATACATTTTTGGTGAACTAGATTCTGTAGGAAGCAGATAATATTTGACTTTGGATCCAAGATTGAAGAAAGTGGTCCGCTTGCCAGCAAACCGGACACTCAGCACACATTGCTACCTAATAATGCCCCTGGTGGTGGTTAGCAAGAAAATCAGGAATTTCTCCAGCTTGGAATAACACCTTTTGGGGGGACACAGGATAACAAGGGATGTGTTGGATGTCTTAAAAGGTTTATTCACCTAATTTGAAATGGAGGAGTCTACCAGTGTGTGATTTTATTTGCAACCCCCTTGTTCTTTTTTCCTGAATTATTATCATATTTGTTATTATTATCATTCAAATTTATATATTTAGTTTTAACCTAAGAGTGTCTGGAACTAGGGTGGTGTGTCTGGTAGAAGTAGGATCTGTTTTGTTACTAGTTTGTCTGTGTTTTTGATCTGTTTGTGATGTAAAATTTAAATCTACTATTTTGATTCTGTATGTTTTGAATGAGATGTCTATTCTTTGAATATGAAAAATCAATAAAAACACATTATTATTATTTGCCATCCATGTTGCACATACATCCCATCTTCTATTGCATGGCTGTCAGGCACTATAGCCTGACTATAGGCTCAGGGGAACAATTCAGAAAACAGTTTTTCTAAGGGATGGGATTTTTTTTTTTTTTTTTATAATTTGTTATTTAAATATGTGTTAGTCAAATTTATCATAGAATTTATTTCATTCATCTGTCTGATCACACTTTCTGACCCTGTTGCATGTCTTCCTCTGCCACCTTTCCCTTCCACTTAGAATAAGTAAATTCTAGTACAGGACTATCAGGATGAAAAGATGGCAGCCATGCTCTTACCAACGGGTCCTGATGGCTTGCGGCGGTTCACTCGCGAATCCCTGGCTGCCCTGGAGCAGCGGATTGCGGAGGAGCAAGCCAAGAGCTCCAAGGATTGCACCGAGACTCACAAGAATGCTGAGACAACCAAACCCAGGGTGGACCTGGAGGCGGGCAAGCAGCTGCCGCGCATCTTTGGTGACATTCCAACAGAGCTGGTCGGGGTGCCACTGGAGGACATTGATCCATTTTACTACAAGAACCAGAAGGTAAAAGCTTTGGTTATCTCTGTCTCTGTATGTCTGTATAGATAGAAGAGAACCTCTGCACTCAAGCAGAGAGTTAGGAATGCTTGAGTAATTTCTTTTGTTCATAGTTTGTTCCTTCAGCTTGCCTGAACATCTCTGTTGACTGTGATCATAATTCTGGTGACAGGATTATATAGTCAACTAAAACTAATGAAAAGTTAAATGGAGAACAAAATCATTAACTGTAATTATTATTTCCTTAATTGGCTATGTTGTAGTTTTACCTCAGTACAATTTTGGGCTACACTACCCGCCTTGTGTAATAAGAGCTTACCGTAAAAATGGAGATCAGCTGTTTTTATCACCCTGCTAGCAAATTAGTCTGCTCTTCTACAACCTTTTAAACAGGTATATCTATGGGTAGCACGTGCATGTCTTTTGCTTGGCTGAGCAAATAAGCTGCACCACTTATCCTGGGAAGAATTTAAAAGGTTACAAAGGTAAAACAAAGTGTAAATATGTATGATTTTAATGTGATGTTCCAGTTAGTTTTAGAAACACACAAATAAATGTCAGTTAGTTATACTTCTTCCCTTTTTAAAGCAGTACTAAAGAACTATCCGATTGGGTCGATTTCGGCTCCCCTCATTGGACAAAAGCTGCATTGCTTTACCTGAAGGAAGACAACATTTCCCATGAGCACCAGTATGGTACAGAACATAGCGTCGTAAAATACTAACCTCCAGGTTGCCTGCAGTTGGACTGAACTACATTTCTATTTCCAGTGGCGGAGGAAAAGATTAGTAGCGATGAGGCAATGAATCTAACTGTGGTGAAACAATATTATATGACAATGCTGAAAAATAAGAAACCTTTGACTTTATTTTTGTACCATATTCCTGCACCCCCACCCATCCACCCAACCTGAGGTGCTAACAAGTTTAGAGCCTTAAAACAGATAAATATTGTTATATTTGATAATTTCACAGTAAACACACTTATATATCCCAAGACTAAGATGCCCCATTGCCTGAATATCAACCCTGCACAATTTGCACAAATATACAGCCTCTCAGGCGAACGTTGACTGTGTCCGAATGTCTGCTCTATTCACCATATAGGGTACTATATAGTGGTTACACCATTTTAAATAAGTGTCAGATTTTCTAGTGGATGAAAAAGTTGTGGACTCGAAATTTCCCACAAGGGATCTCGAAAAGTAGTAATTATCCACGGGCACTAGAAGAGCAGATATATCCTAGATCAATTTGTTAGAGTTCTCCTCGCAAAGCATCATGGGATTGATTGTGACAGTGGCCCACTGATGGCAAACGCACCGTGTTTTCTATATAGTCCTCTTTATATTCTCACTCTGTATAGTGAATGAGGATTTAGGGGTTACAGCGGAAATACGGACAGAGCCTTGGTCGCATCAACCTCCATCTTTATAACTAATGGGAATCGGGGGAAGTGACGTATGCCGTAATGCAGTTTGCAAATTTTTTTGTTTTTTCTGTGTTTCCATCCATGGAGACTGGTATAGTGAAATAGGGCACTGTGTCTCCTCATATTTATTTACTGAGAAAGGGGAAGCTTATACTCACTCTAATATTCTTAAAAAGTCTTCTTTTTAAAACATCAAAGTAACTTTTATTTTGTTTATTTATGAAAAATATTTAGTTTTTTAGACAGAAGTTGATCAGATTTTTCTCAATTTTATAAAGCAACACTTTTATTCTATTAAGTAAAATTTTAGCTGTCTTAATTATTTTGATGCAAAAACAAACAGTTACTATTTAAATTGGGTAAAATTGTTGTGCAAAGAATTTGCTTAAAAATACAAGGCAAGAAACGATACAGCAGATATTACCATATCATAGAACATTTGACGTGTTCCTAATTCCCTTTACCATGTTATCCAATAATAAGGTTTATAGATTTATTGGAAATCAGAAAAATTGTAAAAGACTGTAATGTTGAAAGACACATATGCGTTGTTACAGTTCTTATGTACAAGACAGTTTCGGTTCATCAGGAAATAAATAAAACCTCGCTTTGGGGTTTAAAACATGAAATGTTAGTGTGACTCCAAATTATTTCCTTCGGGCAGCTGACTGAAGCTAAGACGCCCTGTCTGTGTCTCTTTAGATCTCTGGTGGATGCTGAAATAGGATTAGCAAGTTTTGATTTGCTGAGCTGGTAGATCAGCCTGCTGCCCATTAATGAAGAGATGAAAACAGGACATGGCAGCCATTCTCAGGGTCTCTTTGTTTTGGCATGTGATGCGCTGCGGAATGGGAGGATTATCCAAAGACCACAAAATATTTAAATAAATGCTACATCTGTTGGGGAAACATTCAGTCCGCTTTGGAGTTGCCTCCATTATCTCAACTTGCCCGGATAGCTGCCTGTGGTGGAAGTGAACACAGATGGTAGACAGAGAGATTGAGTCAACGCTGCGGCTGCTCTGTCATCCCTTCTTGGTAGCAGGAAACGGATGAACAGCTGCTCCCAGCTGATGTTTGGTTTCTCCATTCAACTGATAGCATAGAGATAGATTCAAAATGTAAAGAAAATGTTTAAAATGTGATTTTTTTTCAACCAGCAGTGATGGTTTTGTCCTTTTATTTTCTTTGCAGACTTTTATAGTACTGAACAAAGGGAAGGCCATCTTCAGATTCAGCGCCACATCTGCACTTTATATATTAACTCCATTTCACTTCATCAGATCGATTGCCATCAGAATTTTAGTCCATTCATATCCTTTTTCGAGTAGTTTGTTGGTTTCTGTGCATGTGCTTCTTTTTCTATAAGCATGATACATTATGTATGATTTTTATTTTTCCAGACTAATTTTGAGACAACAGGGCAGATAATGTGGACTAGAACTTGTTACTAAAGTTTAAGCTTAAAGGCAGATTAAAATATCCCATGTGTCCTAATGTGAACAAATGTTATTAACATTAATTTAAATGCTATAAAAGCCTTTTTCTAATATTTCCCTATGTATTTTCTTTGGCATGTGTTTTTGGTTTTCCTGAATATTTTTATTTATTTATTAAGAACCTATTGAGAAAGAGTTAGAATTCTCCATTTAACAGTTAGAGTTTAGTTTCCCTCCTGTTTTAGACCACAGAAATACTTAATTCTTTCACATAAACTGTGGTGTTAAGGGTCCTCCTACTTCCCTGTTGTGATTCCTATTGATGATGTCAGTCATGAACTGGAGCTAAATATGTGAAACAAATTAATCAAAGAGGCAGAGTTGAGCAGTTTATGGAGCTAGAAGCTCCTGTGTTAAAAATCCTAGTTTGAGGCTCATTATTTGAAGGTTTTACGTTCTTTGTTCTGAAAACATGACTGTGAGGTTAGCTGGTCTCACTAATTTCTCCTAAGTATTAGTGTTGGTGCATGACTGCTCTGTAATGATCATTGGCCTGACCAGGGTATACCCCAATGATTGTCAGATATAGGCAGCAGTCCTCCCATGACCCTGCAAACATAAGCTAGTCTAGTCTATGGAATAAAAAGCAGCGCAAATACCGCCTAATTACTAAATGATATGTGTGTGATTTAATCTCCATGCAAATAAAGCTGCTCTGTGTGAAAAGAAGGGTGTTAATTAACTCTAAAAGCAAAAGGTCCACAGCTCAGGTGAGGATATCTTTTTTTAACTGATAGTCATGCATAGGTCAAGAAAATGTTGCTCTGCCCAAATGAAGCCAAAACTGACCTTTCAGGACAAATGCTATGCACTTTGGGCCTGATCATCTTAAAACAGGTGCAAAAGTGTTTAAAACTAGCTTAGCAGAAAGGTGCAAAGTGATTTGCATTTACCATTCAGCAGACAGCATGTGCGAAACAGCTTTGTTCATCAGTATTCACATATGCAATATTCACATTCTAATGACCAAAACCATTTTACAAATCTTAAACTGTAACGTGGAAGCAGATTTTTTTTTCCCTTTTTTAGTAATTCTTAAAGTGAGGAATAAACTGACAAGCCGAAATATCTGCTGTCACTGTTGTCACAAAGTAAGCATTGGTACAATGACAGAGGATGGAAATTCTGTGCTCATGTAAACATATTTGGACCTTCAAAAATAACAGTGGAATAATAGTAGAGAAAAAAAATGTAATTTCAGCTGGCCACAAATTAATGTAGCTGGACAGCAGGCTATTTTTATACATTAAAATAAACTTTAATTGAATAGTATGTTTGTAAAAAAAAAATTGAATATCAAGAGAGCCTGCAAAGAGACATGATAGTACAGGATAAAAATGCACATGCCTTTCCTAACAAACTGTTTTTTCTATCCTAGTGATTTTCAAAATATGTCTTTTTTTACTTGTGTTTGTAGCGCTTAAGATATGATACCTGTAGAAATTGCTCTTATTTAGTATTATAATTATTATTATTATTAACCGTACAACATGGCTTAGAACCTTATCTTTATTTTACAACCATTCTCAGCTGCCAGTAGAACGCACAATCTGCTCATTTTAATGGGCGGGACCAAAACGGTTTCCATGTATTAACAGTTGCGCAGCAATTTTTGTAGATCACCAGATACATGGACACTTATTGCACTTATTATAGAAAATAAATGCAAATGCTATTTAGGGCCTCTTATTACCATACCAGTGAAAAATGTTGAAGTTGATAGTTGAACTTCCAGGAGGCTAGTTAATCCAACTTGTATCTAATTGAAGGCCTTTGGCAAGATTAGCAAATGTAGTTGTTCTTTGAAAAAAATCTGAAGAGAACCAAGTTCAAATGCATGCACTAGAATCAAATTGTTATTTTAAAAATGAAACGATCTTAGTATAATTTTTCCTTCCACTTTGCAGTCATGCTTTATTAATTCATCAGATAGATATCCTGATATGGTACATTAGAGTTTGCACAGGTGATTTTTTTTAGTTTAAGAGGTATAAATACTTCTGCAAGACTCTATATTTAGTTAGTATAAAACAATTGACTGTTTCTAATGTTACCTACTTATCCTAGTGTTAGTTTACAGCGTAGCAATGGTAGTTTTCAAATGTAAGTATATGTTATATTATAGATTTTTGTGCCACTCCACACTTTCCTGAACCATTTCCACATTGTTTAGCTATTTCATAATGTTCACCATCCTGACCAACTGTTTCTTCATGGCCATGTCCGATCCGCCAACATGGACCAAATATCTGGAGTAAGTAAAAATGTATCTTTATCCCTTTTAAAGCTCTTTTCTTTGTCTAAAATCTTTGCTATATATTTTCTAATGGTTAATTGCTGGGGTCTGTTGCTTTATCAGTGACTTCTGCAGAATTACTAAAAAAGTAAGTATAAGCATATGCAACGCATGTCATGACTACGGCACTCTGAATACAACTTCGGCATGCTGTGGAATGAGAAAAGCTTTCCGAGTGTTTTCAAGGACTACCTGTGCTTTGCATGATGTGTTATCTTCAACTGAGCTGTTTATCATCGAATTATTTTCATTTAATGTGTGACACATTGTCTGCCTTCAAAAAAAGCTTTTATTTTATTTTATTTATTTTTAACAGCTGTATTAAATTATTTACCCCTGACATGATTACACAGACAAAAAATGCTGGTAATATATTGATGTCCACCAGTTTGATAAAACTCAATTCTAAAAGTTTTACATTTGATTAATTCATAATTTCAGCGTTTGAGAAGAGCGATGACCTGTTAGTGCGGCTTTGAAGGTGAAATAAGCAGTGTCACTTTCTGTAACTAAAAGATTATCACTGCTTGTTTTAATTTTGAACGATACTTCTTTTTGCTTGATTTTTTTAAACGTTTTTATTATTTTTAATTTTGATAATTTCAGACTTTTACAGGAATAAAAAGGGTTAATTTACCGATCTCTGGCTTGGTAAATCACAAAATCAGTGGTGGAATACATATTGGTGACCCTAAGAAACCCTTCAAAATACAAGGAAATCATACATTTAAAATATTCTTACCTCCACAGGAGGTAAAGATGCTCTTTCTATCTACTTTCAGCTGGCCATAATGAAATGATGCTGATACTCTGGGCCTATTTTTAATTTAATTTAAATCAGTTTATTTATATACCATCAATTCACAGCACATGTGATTTCAAGACACTTTAATCAGATCATACTGTTAGATTGGTTAAAAGTTCATCTTCAAAGGGACTGGAAGTTCTTATAGTGCATGGCATTACTACACATCAATAAATCTCTGAAATATGAGAAGGTTTGAGATTCTCAAACTGGTGTAATATATCATCAAACAACATGGTTCACCTGAACCAAAATCAAAGATTGCATCCGCATTTATCAAATTGATATGGACTCCTTAGTGGTCACCATAAAAAAGTATGCTTCATATTCTGGTTGTGAAGTCCCTCACAACTGATTCAAACAATAATATCAGGATCAGGCAGGTGCAGCGAAGGAGGTGAATAAAAAGACAACCCTTTTGCAGAACCTCAACTGCATATTTTAAACCTTATTTTTTTCTGCTTCAAATTTAATCATGATGCACAAACAGAAGTCCATAATGAAGATCAATTGCAACCACAGCACTTTCAGCAAACCAGAAGTGGCTGCTGTGGCTAAACAACTAGAGCAAAACAGGAGAGAACCCAGAACTCTGAATAATCGAGAGAGACTGTGCAGAGAACACGCTCTAGAACTTTCTCTGTATGCTGCAGACTTGTGGGAGGTTTTAAGAGAAGACTATAGCATCATATGTTTTGTTTTAAAAGTATCAACTGAAGGCTGTATGAACAGTTGTGCCAACTTTGATTTTGTTGCAAACAAAAAACATTTCGAGACATGAGTGTATTTTAATTTAACTAAATTCCAAGTAAAATTATATTAATTTTAGTTTTAAGGCTTTTTTTTATACATCTTAAGCGTGAATATCAACAAATCTGTTAGAATAAAAGAAAGAAATCCACAAATCCTGTAAAGTGATAAACTGACAAACATTCATCTTGAATGTTGAACTGTGACCCCTGTTTCTCTCACAGAAAGATTAATATATCCTCCATCCTCACTACTTAACATCTCTGAATTTATGCTCCTTTTCCAGAAGGTTGCAGCTTTTTAAAAAAAAAATGTTGTGGCCAACTGATTTAGAGTGTGTATTTATTCTTCAACGGATCATAGTGTAAAATATATATTTGAGGGATTTAAATTGTTATTCTGTTTTAACAAAAACTGCAGCATCCTCATATTCTACAAGATATTTGGATACTGCTTAGAAATGCTTTTATTTCAACCATATGCTGTTGCTCCTTGTTGTGTTTCATATGCCAAATGAATACTTTTATACAGATAACAATGTCTCATAACCGTCATTCTTTTTGTTTACTCTTCAGCATGTTATTTTCTATCTTGCTCTCAATTTTTTTTCTCAGATAATCAGATAATTTTATTATCTCATCTACTGCTCTGCTGCTGTTGCAGTTCAGTTTAAAGCTGGTCTTTGTGCATGTTGACTGTCACAGCTTCATGTTCATCATCTTTTTGTCTGATGGTTTCCAGGTACACCTTCACTGGCATTTACACTTTCGAGTCGGCAATAAAGATTTTTGCGAGAGGATTCTGTTTAGTGCCGTTTACCTTCCTCAGAGACCCTTGGAACTGGCTCGACTTCACTGTCATTGTCATGGCGTGAGTAGCTCCATTTTGACCCTGCCTTCAGATGAATATTCAAGTTAAACCTGAAAATATGTCTTTCATTGCAAATGGTGCTTTAGAAGAAGTGTTGATAAATTCTTCTGAAATGAAAACAGCAAAAAAATAAATAAAAATGATTACAGTTATTATAGTAAAGTTCCTGAAAGGTGCAACACAAGATAAAGGATCAATTGTTTTCCTTATTTCTTTATGTATCAAACAGTTAATTGTTTATTCGCATCATCTTACAGATACCAAACAATGGTAATCTAACTGATTAATTATATGTGAAATAAAATATTCACAGTTAAACAGCAGAAACACAATTATTGGTGTTGCATCCTTTCTTGCAATTGAATGTACAATATTTTTAGTACCACATTATACCATCAGAATCACAATTATTTTATGAATCCCACCTTTTCTTGCAGTGCAACCGTTTATAGAAGTACAATAGAGCAAAATAAAATATGATATGATAAGACAGAATATATATGCCTTCACTTTTATTTAAAGGCTAATAAAAATACCCTGCTTTAAGTGAATAGCAACTATTCTCCATAAGCAACAGACAAGATCATATGTTATGTGATCTTTTACCAAGGCAGTTATCCCAAGGTTTTTTTTTGTTTTTTTTGCGCTTGTTTAAACATACTGATCAATAGTGCTACATATTCTCATTGTCATCAATTTATGCAGACTCTCTGTCTGCACCAGTGAAGATTTAACCATTGAGCTTGCTAACATGCATTGTAGAAATACTATAATTAAGCAAGTCTGGTAATCACCAGATGATGTGTTTACATGACCTAGAAAAACTGAGTATTTAAGAATTTCTTGTCAACATTTTTCAGTCTACTTATGCAGTTTTTGCTTGCTGGATATGTGCTTAATGAAATTATGGACACACAATGGAAGAGAACTTAAGGATCTCACTAAGAGCTTTCTCAAAACCTTCTGAGCTAGCAAATAATGTAGGGAGTCCCAACTAGTCAGCAGTAAATTTAAGTTTTCAAATATTTGTAAGAGAAAAAAGAAGAAATTAAGACCAAGACAGGATAGAGGAGAAAATTGTGTGCCAGCTTGTAGAACTTGAGCCTGGAACTCAACGTAATTCTGACATTTTGAATTGAGAAGGCTTCCTGAATGGGAAGCAAAACGTCTTCAAACTTGGAAACAAAGTCCAGTAGATTTTTAAGTTTTCTGGAAAACCATTCTTAACATTATCAAGCATTTTTTAGATGCTTCCAATGGTATTCTGATTAGAATATAAATATTTTATTCTTGAGCACTGATAAATATTGTACTGAAATGCTGAACTCTTTATCAATTTTTTCTAATGACACAATAAGACCAACTGAAACAAACAAAATTGCTTCTAGAAGGAATTTAGAATGCATAAACTGTAATGATCTAATCCTCCACCTCCACAGGTATGTCACAGAGTTTGTCGACCTTGGGAATGTCTCTGCTTTGAGAACCTTCAGAGTACTCCGTGCTCTAAAAACCATCTCAGTCATTCCAGGTAGGGGAACAATCACAGCCTTTTCTCTGACCCCTTTCTTCTTAGTAGAATCTCAGTGTTAGTCAAGCTGTTGGGAATTATCAACACCCACCAGTTTCCTTTGTATTTTCAGGTCTGAAGACGATAGTCGGCGCTCTGATCCAGTCTGTGAGGAAGCTGGCCGATGTGATGATCCTGACCGTTTTCTGTCTCAGTGTGTTCGCCCTCATCGGCCTGCAGCTCTTTATGGGCCTTCTGCGACAAAAATGCGTCCGTAGCCTCAATCACTGCATCAACTCTTCATATAGCCCCAACACAACTTTTATTTGCAACAACAGGACCTGGAGCTCGCCAGCAGACTTTCTCAGCAATGAGGGTCAGCCTTAAACAAAAATTACAGCTGTCTAGAAACGTTACACACATTTGCACTCCTCTGCATTTACTAAACTGTTGCCCCTCTTTTTCTAGATAATTTTTACAAAGTTGAAGGCCAGAAGGATGCTTTAATTTGTGGATACGGAAGTGATGCAGGGTAAGTGGTTCTGTGCTCATTAGTAAGCTGCAGGCTGTTATATAATGCTGAAATATTTACCATAATGGATGTTGATCCCCTGCATGGGTTTTGTACAATGGGACACGTTGGCTGCTTTCAGCTGAGACAGTTTGTATGGTGCCAGAAAACCCCCCCCGCCTACATCAGATTTCCTGTTGGTTTTAACATTACGTTCACTGTGAGGCTTAATGTACAGGGCAGCGATCTCATCAGAGGGTTGGGTGTACCATAAAAGCAGCTGCATATGGTGCAGATAATCACGTCAGCTCTGCCTTTACTTAGAAACCCAGCATTGACAGCTGGGGAGAGCTATCTTTTCAGAATTTTAGCATCTAGAAAGCTAAACACAATTATTAGGTTAAATGCAATGGATTTTACTGTTTTAAATTCAGATTTCTTCAATATTAAGACACTATTCTGAGCTCTATTATTTGCATTTTGGAATATGCCAGAGCAGCCTGTATTCCCAACCAGAATAAACCAACCAAGATGTAAACACAAATGTTATTTTCCCATTTTGAATGGATGACTCGGTTCCTAATCGAAGGTGCAGTGTTTAGAAATCCTAAACACTGCCACACTGAATAATCCTGTAAATCCAAATGCTTTTGAAACAAGCACAGCTGAGTGAATCGTCCCCTTTGCCACTTTGAAGGCAAATAGTGAGTCCGACTTCCATCCATGGGAATCTGAAAGCCTGTGGCTACAACAGCTAGCCTTCCCAAGGTGTTCTGGTTATGGAATTAAAAGATAAAGAATTGTCAGGTTGGGTGGAAGTTAGCTGAGGACCCAAATGCAGAGACTGAAGCAGGCAGAGATGAGTTTTGCTGATTTAATAATGTTTCAAATGGGAAAAAAAACAAAATGCAAATAGCCAAAATCAAGGAGATGTCAGGGAAAACACACATGACAGAACATACATAAAAACTCAAATACAATTAGAACAAAACAAAATGGAAATAAAACCAATGAAAACTCAAAAAGAAAATTTAAATGGAACCAAAACCATAACAAGAATAATACCACATAAAAACAAACTGGTTTCTTAGTTTCTTACACTTACAGATATTTTTGTCAAAAACTCGTTGTGTGGAAAAAAAAAAAAATTATATATACCGTATATATATACAGGTATTACCACATTACCTATAAGCTATAGGGAAAAAAAAAAAAAACATCCAAACATAAATCATTAAACTCATCTAAATTTATTACCTTATATATTTATTTATATTATGTGATTAAAGTATTTATTATTTATTGTGCAAGGTCAATTTTGTAGGCTGACACACAGCTGGTCATAATTGTGAAGAGGTGTTACATTTCTGACAAGTAAAAATGTAAATGAGCTGAGATCAAATATAAAGTGGTTATTGGATTAAATACTGAAAATAGAATTAATCATCCACCCATGGGGATTATTATTAATGAGCTTCTAAATGTCCCCAAATAGTAGGGCTAAAGAAGAGTATAAGCTGCTGTTTTACTAAAGGCACCATGAAGGTAGTTCAGCTCACAATTATCAAGCATCAGAGAGCCGCCACCATGCAGTTTTTAATCTCACTCAGACTGCAGCTTCCCAGAAAACACAGGAACCTAATCCCCTCAAGAAGCAAAATCGGATCCAGTAATGTCTGCTAAAGTCAGAAGGAAAAGAGGATACTTTGGAGGGCCTTTGGGTGGAAGTGATGTCATTAAGCCTTTTGAATAGTAGGTTAGACACATCAGACTATCAGTACAAACAAAATAGATAATAATAGCTCAATTTTTTTGTAATAAACTTTTTATAAATGAGTTTTGGTAATATTGGTATCTGGTATGATTTTAACATTGTTGTACAGTCAGAGGTAACATGGTGTATATTTTAGTTTTTTATGTTCTTGCTGTTGCGCTGCTACAAAACGACATGATGCAAATTGAAACATGGATGACAGATTAGAGGTCATCACAGCTACCTGATGTGTTTGCTTGCCAATCTATGCGGCAGGCTTTTAACTTGCATCATGTGTCATCTCTGATGGAACTTTCTGCAGCGGGCTGTGGAGACGGACAAGATACTAAGCAGGTCAGGACGTAAAACATAGAGGATGCTTAATCTTTTGAGTGTATTCCAACAAGTAATCCCTGAGTAGATTTCCAAATTAAAGCTCTGGATACGTTATGATGACAAACACTGTCACACGCATGCGCAGAAACAGCCATTACTGAGCAGTCGTGAGCACAGACTTGTGAAAATTCTAATTCTTTCTCAGTTTTCATTAAACCAACTGTAATGTTTAGCAATGAGCTTTTCCTGCTGCATTTTACTGCCCCTGTTCATTTAGGATTATTACAGATTCTATAGATATTTTAAAAATGTGCCCTTTGTCAGTGTCAGTTTAAAAAAAACACTACCATTGCACAGGAAAAAGGTCTGAATTTGTCTCTCTATCCTTTAAATAAATTAAAAAAATATCATTTTGATCTCCTTAGAAAAAGTGTAATCTAAATGCAAGCATGTACAAAGCCTCATTAAAGCTTAAAGGAAGAGAGTTCAGTTTTTTTTTTTCTGTATAAGGTGAAATGGACATGTTGTAACCTTACCCCCCCATTAAAAAAGGGTATTTTGACATTGTTTTATTTGTTTATATTTATTTAACTGGATGAACATGGGGAAGATTTGTTAGGCTGAAGGAAAAAAAACTCTTGGCTAGAAGATTAAAAATGATAAAGGGTTTACTGTGATACCTCTTAATAAAGTCCCCTGTAATCATGGCTTTATAAATCATCTAAATAGAATCCAGCTTTGTATCATGATATTACACTAATAATCTAACTGTTCTCTTTAGACCCCAGAGTGAGCAAAGAGCATAATGCAGACAACAGAGGCTAGGTCATAAAATAATGCTCTTTAGCTCTGAATGTCACTGAGCACTGTTTAAATTATTATCTTCAAATAGAAAATAATGGCAAAAGTCAAATCTAGCAAGACATGATTGTCCACCTAATCTTACAGATGGGAGGGCTACATCAACCACAAAAGCATTCAAGATCAGAGAGCTGCAGTTTCACTGCCCAAAATGGTGACTTTGGTTACAGTTTGATGTCTCACCCAACTCTTATGTTTTGTTATCCTCTGTTGTAAGCGGTTACCTATATCCATGGGGATATTTAAAAAACTTCCAGCATCTTAAAAACATTGAATTAAATTGATGAAATCATAGGAAAATGTGTAAGTAAAAGGTATGGAGATCTTGATTTAACAGGAATTAGCAGAAAAAAATCACTTTAATCATCCATCCATCCATCCATCCATCCATCCATCCATCCATCCATCCATCCATCCATCCATCCATCCATCCATCCATCCATCCATCCATCCCAAAACTGACACCTCAAAGTGATTTGGAAATGCCATTAAATCTAACATAGATATTTAGGCAAATTATGTTATTTAAGCACTACAAGGCTTCAATAGATAATTATAAATATTAGACTAATAAAAATATTTAGAACATATTTTTTCTCAATTAATACATTTGCTGAATATAGTCCAGTGTTTTTTTTTTTTACACTTTTTGATGTTTAATTAATAAATTACCTAATAAGCTACAAATATTTTATGCCATACAGAGTTTCTGCTAATAACACTCTTATTATTGTGCTTCACAAATAGGTCAAGCTTTAAAGTCTGACATTTCACCTCAAAGCCCACAGCTCTATCGTTTATTTTTAAAGCTAGATCTGACTGTTACAACCTTAAGTTCACTCAGATCTCAGATTGCAAGTTTTCATCTGCATTTATTTGCATAGGTGGCAAAGCTAATGCCGGCTTGTGTGTTGTTCTTTTTGATGAGACTTGTTGATATTTCAGCCCAAAATAGGTATCATGGCTGTTCAATAAAACCACTCGAATAAAACCTTCAAAAATATGCTCTCCTTTCTGATAAGCCTGACATTTTGCTTTACAGTAAATGTGTCAGTTTTTCAGCTGCGGTCTGTGTTACCCTGACCTAAATGTCAGACGCAACAGTCTCTCTCTACATATCAGTTAATTTAAAATCTAGTAAAATGTTTGGAAAATATGTATTTTGTTAGATTAGTAAAATAATATCTACAGTTTTTAATCTTTTTTTCCCCTCTTTTAAATGTGCTTTTTAAAATGTGGCTGGCAATGTAGCTGATATAAACCGGTGGGTTTAGTGATCAAAGTTTTTTTTATATGTATAGCTTTATTTGTATTAGATTAAATGGAGCAGACTGGAACGAGCCGCCTGTCGGGAAGATGTTTGCAGCCATCTGCAGACCTCCCTACCGTGGTTCATATTCAAAATTCCTGCTTAGCAGACCGGTGAGATCTACGGCTGTCCTCACAGCCGTGCTCCACAGCCCAGATGTCTGCCAACCATTATGAAATTATTCCTCTCTCACATTGACATGGAAGCGCAGCTTGTTCTCTGCTGCAGGACTTAAATATTTGCTGTAACACCACTGTGCTAACAATGAAGATCAGGGATGAAGGCACTGAGCCAAACATTTTTGGAACTGCGATTTGATATCCATCTGGCTGAGTTTAATCCCTTTTACTCTGGTGCATTTTAGAGCTTCAGTCTGAAACAGGTTTAAAGTGCTGTAACCAGTTAAAAAGAATGATGTTAAAGACTCTGTGTGCACTTACTGTATCATCTCTGCTTCCCTCTCTAATGCAGTGAAAAGTTAAAGGGGAACATGTAGATATGAGAGAGGTGTTTTACTCCTACGTAGCCTGAGTGCCAGCCCAGTTTTATCTGTCCTTGCTACTCCTAGTTTTTTCTTCCCTGTTATTTAATAATACATCATCTGCTTTCCTAATTCTATATCCATCACAGGAAGTGTCCGGATGGATTTGATTGCCTCAAAGTTGGAAGAAATCCAAACTACGACTACACCAGTTTTGATACCTTTGGCTGGGCTTTTCTGGCACTTTTCCGCCTCATGACCCAAGACTATTGGGAGGAGCTCTTTCACCAGGTACAATAGCTTTTCAAGCAACTAAACTTACGTTCAGAACTCTCTATAAATTTTAATTTACACATTTAATGTTTTGGGCCAAGAGCATTTGAAGTAATTACAGTGTCGTCCCTGGAGAGGGCTACAGAGTAATGTTCTTTGATGTTACACAAAAGCTTTGTTGATCCATTAAGTCTTTTTGTTTATCATTTATTATTTATTTTTCTTCCAATTTACAGACATACAATGCATTGGAAGTTTTGTAGTTTTTTTATTTCTAAAATGTATTAGAAATTAGACTAATATATGTGTTAGAAATAAGACCAATTTTCACATAAATCAGCTGTTCTGCTGACGCCACCGTGGTTTTGTCAGGAAACCTCAGTCTACAAACAGCTTGATGAACACCAAGGTACACACTTTTAGAGATTCATAGGCGACTATTAGTGTAATAAATAATTAGTCTCATAATGCAGATCATTATGTATCAGTAAGTTAATCGTTCTGTCTTCCCCAATGAGCTACCTTAATATAAAAAAGAGACACAAACTAATATTTGGTGGGTTTTTGCAGATTAATATCTTTTCCATTAATAAAATTCATGATACCAGTCTAGCAACTTTAGTTTAAAAAAATTTAACTTGAGTAAATTATTTGGTAAAAAGAAATAGGCACTGATTACATGCACTACGGGGAAACAGTTTAAACGTTTTTAGATATTTAGATATTTACATTTAAAGTAATCATAATCCCTGGAGATTGTTACCTTTAGACAAATTATGCTACGTTCACTATGTGTATCTTGATGTATCTGAGCAGCCATGCTGCGCCTCATGAGCTTCTGAGCATCTGAAGCACTCAAAAACAACAACCAATGGAAGTGGAAAAAAGGAAACTTTGCCGCCCAAACGGCCAACTTTAACCAAACAGAGAAGCTGATCTGGGAGCTGGCAGGGAGACTGGAGAGGATAGTCCAGCTGATTGTCGAACCTCAACTTCAAGAGGAGCAGTTGTGTGTTCGTAATGGTCATGGATGTTCTACACTCTGCTGGGTGATTGAGGGTATTTGGGAGTTTGCTCAACTGGTCAACATGTGTTTTGTAGACCTGGAGAAGGCATTCAACCATGTCCCTTGTGGTTCCCTTGGGGGTGCAATTCAAAAGTAAGGGAGTCAGAGACATTTTACCTGGGACCATCCGGTTTCTGTACAAGCTGGCTTGTTCCTGTTGCATGTTGGACGGCTGCCCTCAGTCATCGGTCATTTTCATTAACTTTATGAACAGGTTTTCTAGGTGGAACCATGGGCCAGATAGGGTGTGGTTTGGGAAGCAGTGGATCTCCGGCTTTTGGAAGATGATGTGGTTCTGCTGCCTCCCTCCTGCCAAAATGTACATCATGCGCATGGAAAGTTGGCAGCTGAGTGTGAATGACCGGGATGAAAATAATTCAGAATTCAAAGTTTGTGGTATTCATTTGCATTTTAACAGCAAAATGATAGGATGTTGCGACCACTGTCGATCTGTTTGGAAAGTTAGCCCCCTAATGCTGCTTCAAGTTTTTTCGAAAATCCTAGTGTGTTAAAAAAATAAAGTCATAAAGAGACTAATAGCTAAAATGTGTTAAGGCTTGTCTGATTATGTAATTGCATAATTATATTGATCGGGCATGCGATACATAGACAGCAGTGCATGTTAAATTTGGGGGTTACGACTCAAAAAGGTTGAGAACCACTGCTTTAAGATTGGGTTAGGACCTTAGTCATTCGCGAAATGCTTGAACTAGAGCCGCTTCTCCTCCACATCGAGAGTAGTCCAGTGAGGTGGCTCTGACATATTTTTCGGATGCCACCTGGAGGCCTGCTTTGGGAGGTGTTCCTGGCACGCCTGATAGGGAGGAGACCCAGGGGATGACCCAAGACATGGTGGAGGGAATATGTGCCTCTGCTGGCCTGGAAATGCCTTTGGTCTCCCCCAGCTGAAGGAGGTGTCTAGTGAGAGGGAAGTCTAGGAGTCCGCGACCCGGTCACGGATGAAGTGGAAGACAACAAGTATGGGATTTAAAATAAAGTGAAATACATTGAAATGCGTCTTACATTGCACAGGTAAAATTCATACCACATGTCCAGATAAAGATTTGCAATGTTCACAACCTTGATGTTCTTTTAGCCGATGTTTAAGGCTTGTTCAGAAAAGCTTTATTTGAGACAAAAACTTTAGATCCTTGAGTTTTAAGGAGGATTAAAGGATGAATAAAGGACACTCCTGGAAGAAAACTTCTGAGAGGTTTCAAAAAAAAGCATGAAGGGGTGAAGGTTCACTTTTTTCTGTCCAATCTCACTGAGCTTAACTTGACAAAAAACAACTGAAGAAATGCATAACTTAAAGGCGCATATCCTAAAAGACTTTCAGCTTAAAGTACAGGATGTGTTATCTAAAGTATTAATTCACGAGGATCTAATACAAATGCCACAATCTTTGTTTTCCTTCTTTTTCGAAATGAAGCACTGTGGTTTCAAATGGGGGAATTAGTCAAATGTTATGAATACTTTTACAAAACGCTGTAATCTTCATCCTTTGGGTGATGTTTTAGTATTTATTATTTTTTAAGGATGAAATCCATAGAAGTGTAGTTATTAAGATACAAATTTTCCTCAGACTCTGCGCTCAGCTGGGAAAACCTACATGGTTTTCTTTGTTCTGGTGATCTTCCTTGGCTCCTTCTACCTGGTGAACCTGATCCTGGCCGTTGTAGCCATGGCTTACGAGGAGCAGAATCAGGCAACTATCGCTGAGGCCTGGCAGAAAGAGAGGGAGTTTCAGCTGGCCATGGAGCATCTCAGACGAGAGCAAAGAGTAGGTGCAGGATCTTCCTACCTGTGTGCTTTACATAAATAATAAATGTGATTTATGTTCTATGACATAATTTCTCTCTGTATTAAGATGGCAGCCAAAAGACAAGCACAGGAGACAGACTCCATTGTGTCCCCAGAGTTGTCGCCATTCTGTATGAAAGCTGGAAGTATACGCCGCAGCAACAGCAGAAGAAGAAGATCTCACAGGACTCTTTCAGAGGAGACAGCAGCTGAAGCTGCTGAAGAGAAGCTGGATCCTATGGATGAAGCTGTGGTACATTACAGCCCCCCTACAAATAAATTCATGATTATGGATGGTTTTAGGGCTAATAGCTCTTTGTGTCTTTCTCTGTAGCCTCCTTTATCCCCCTTGCCAGTCCATCCCTTTCTGGCCACACTGTCCTCTCACCCCCTCAGCACCAGGAGAGGAAGCCAGAACAGCATCTTCAGCTCTTTCCGCGCTCGCAACAACTCAGAGGCCGACTTCGGGGACGATGAATACAGCATCCATGGAGAGGTCTTCAGGAGTCGCACTAGCTCGACTGCAACACCCTGGAAGAAGAGGACAGGCAGTATTAGAAGCCATTGCTCCCAGGTGTTAACTCCTAGCTTCAATGTCAACGGCCGACTGAACATCTTCCTTGACCAGAATGGCATCACCAACATGGGTTTGCTTACTCCTACATCCATGCCGGCTCACAGCATGGAGAGATTCAGGGAAGAAACAGTGAGTATGGAACTACTTTTACATTTAATGTCTACGCAGAAAAATATAAACCAACGAAGCCCCACCTTGGTTTCTTGCCTACCAGAAGAATGGCAGTGGAGTGGATACAGCTCCCAGACTTCTCCTGCAGCCTTCACCCACCGCCACAGAGCGATGCTCTGTGCGCAGGAAAAGGACTCACAGCTCTTTCAGCTTCTTTAGCGACGCCATGGAAGGTTAGTTCATTTTATTACTTAAACAATATCCAAAGAAATACATAAGAAGAATATAAGTATAAAATATTATACTATAAACAATCAGAATACAGTAGGGTGACCATTCAGCTTCTGAGTCAATACTTTGAAGAGTTGCCTGTTGATACACTGACAACAAATCTCTTCTGTTTTTTTTTTTTTTAGTGCTGATCTATTCAGTGATTCATAGACTAACTGGGTGATTTTAAAGTCTGGTCTCTGAGCCACTGGGAGCCAGTGTAAGAACTTCAGAAATGAGCTGATGTGCTCTACTTTCTTAGTTCTAGTTAGAACACTGGCAGCAGCATTTTGGATCAACTGCAGCTGTCTGATGGACTTTTTAGGCAAACCTATGAAGATGCTGTTGCAGTGATCAATTCTGTTATAGATAAATGCATCTGTGTGTGCACAGTTTTGCGTGAAAAAATATGGCGGACAAGCCAAAGCTCCTACTGGCAGGGTTTTTTTTTATAAATACAAACATACTATTACTAACTCCTTATGATTGTGCTCATTTATGCAGTATAACCACAATCAAAAGATTGTGAAGAATTTTGTAAAGAATCTGCTGTCACTCCTGGATGTCTTGAGGAAGCTTTGGAAATGTTGGACACTGCTGTGTTTTTTTTACTTCTATATGTAAGCTTCCCTCTGGGGTGAAGGTGATTGTGAAGGTCGCAAGATTTTTTTTTTTTTTTTTTTTTTTACAGTCACTGAAGTATATGGAGTGCTAAAATATAAAGAATAATAAAATATATAGATATGAATGTCCCATTAAACACTATAAAATATTTTTGATGTAATATTGATTAATTAATTTGTCTGATACATGGATTAATTGTTAAATACCATAATGCTGAAAAATAAACCATTAAATGATTGAAAATACATTTTAAAAGGTGAATTATATAATAAATGGAATTTAAAAAAGTGTATTTTTGGGGTCACAGGCTAAGATGTTTAGTAACACATTCTCTAGAGTCAGCCAGAATATTACAGTAGGTACAGTGGATGAAAGTCACAATGAGTATAAAACAGTGCACAGGTTTTGTGCAAACAAAAATCTGTCAAGCGTAAACCAGCCTTCATGCTGGAGGCACCCTGTTTAATTGTGCTACTGGTTTGTCCTCAGTTGATGGGAAGTCTTTGTTTTTCACAGCAAATATCTTTGGGTAAGAAGTCACTAAGTTAAATTCTGACGTCATATGAAATCTTTCTATGTCTAGATAATATGTATAACAGTGGCCTATGAAAGATTTAAAGATTAAGATGATATTTTACAACCTAAACCTGGTTTAAGCCTGTCCGCAGCTTCATTTCTGACTGCTATGTTTCTCACTCTTCATGTCCCTTGATTAATCTCCTCTAAGAAATCTCTTAAACTTTTTATATTATAGCTAAACATACATTGAGATTATGTTACTAGTAAGCAGGATTTACTGATGCACTGGAAATTATTTAGAGGGCCTGAGAAAAGGTAATGATTAAAAATGAGTACCACACGTATTAGATGTTTAGTTGAGAAATATTCTAAATACACCTGATCGCTGTTTGTTGTTTTCCACCCCCCCCTGCAGTGACGCTGCTTTGGACTGGTCTGTGTTGGTTTGTTTCATAAAATCGGAAAATAGTATGATGAAGTTTGTTCTTGCATTGGGTCAGAATCTCAAAAGGTCCAAGCAGGATGAAAACATTTGCTTGCATTTGTAGTATGTTAAGTCAAAATATATGTTGTTTATGAGTCTATGGCTTTAACTAATTTTAGCAAAGAGTAAATTGACTTTATGCAATGTTTCAATATGAATTTTAGGAGTCCTGATCAGCAAAGCCTGTTACTTTTCTATACGAGCAGATCCTTTTTTTATTTTACAAAACAATGATATTTGTTGCTTCTTCTTTTATAGATATTGGAGTCTTTTTGTTAACTTTTTCAAAAAGTTGGGTAAGCTTTGTTTTAAATTTAATCGGATCTTTAATGAGCTTTTGTCCTTGCAGAGCTGGAGGAATCAAGACAAAAGTGCCCCCCTTGCTGGTATGTGTTTGCCAAGAAGTATTTGATATGGGACTGCTGCCCCTGGTGGCTGAAGTTGAAGGAGTGTGTGAAGTTCATGGTGATGGATCCTTTCCTGGATCTGGGGATCACCATATGCATTGTGCTGAACACTCTGTTCATGGCCTTGGAGCATTACCCAATGACTGATGAGTTCAACACCATGCTCTCAGTGGGCAATCTGGTAAGAGGCTGTTTTAAGATAAGAACTGGAACATTTCCTTCATTAAACCCACTTTCTCTCAAGTGCTGTCAGGTGGTACATTAGAGTAGGAGGCGACTGAAGAGGCAAAAGGCTTCATACAGATATTGTATTTCAGCACTAAGCACCAGAGTTTGTTTTTAGCTTTCTCATTGGTGATGTGCCAAGGGATGATTGTTTCTACACCATACATTTATTTTTATATTAAATTTACATATGTCTTTTAAATGCCACTACAATTTAAATGTGATTACATTGGACAGAATTTTCAAAAATATTCATTAAAAATAGTAAACTGTTAAAACTGTCCCTATACCTAGGACGGTTGCAATATATAATTAATCTTTGCAATTCCACTATTCAGATTTTTTTTTTTAATCTTAATTATTCAGAGTATTTGCCTTGTTGATAAAAACCTAAAATTGAACCTGGACTCTCTAAAAGCAGCACATACACAGACATCCCTAATTGTATTTTTGAATGTTTTTTAAATACAATTATTAAACATTGCAAATTATCAGACAAACAGTATTTAGTAAGATATATAATTTTGAAATTGAAAAAAAACAACTTTAAAAATAAAACAAGAATTCAATCTAAATGTTATATTTATTTCAGAAATTTAGAACGGAATTAAAAAAATACAACATATGAAAAAAAGTACTTTCAAACCTTAAAAATATTTTTTCCAATAGATTTAGAAGATAATTTTGAATGGGTTCCTCCGTCATACTGTTGAAAGGGGCAGTCCAATTGAGCCTGTGCAATATCACTTTCATCATGTTAAAATGTTTCTGGTTGAAGGAAAAAAAGACATGTCGCTCAGTCTCCCCTTCTTGTACTTTGACACTTTAAAATTAAATTACATCCTCAAACATCAATGTTGTAAAGTCTGAAAATTACATCAAAGGTTTTTTGTTTGACGGACATAAATCATTACCTTTATCAAAATGTTACCGTATCGCAATAAGATGACAGCAAGAAACTACATTAAAAGGATAGTTTAGTGTTTATGAAGTGAGGTATTTTAGAAAGTTATAAGTAGTAAATAATTACCTACAGCCTACACCAACCGAGTACTGTTTCCTGATCTATCCAAACATTTTAAAATCTAGACACAGGTATAATATAACTATAGATCTATTATGGATAGAATTGAAATGTATTAGAGAGAAGGTAATGGGATGAGTTACAGTCTGGACCCCTTGATTACCTGAACAATAACTTTTCTAGAGAAACTACAAAATCAAATGCTTTGTTTTATGGAGAGCAGTCGACAATATAACCATTACACAGAGAGGATACTGCACTGGAAGAATTCCATAAAGGTAGATGTGAAACTGATTTCAATCTGCATGTAAACATAAAATACAGTAATGTCATACAAAGAACCATTATTGGTGCAAATTAAGGATATTTGATTTATATACTGTTTGAACAGATGAAATTATGTAGCTCATTTAATAAGGTTCTATTAACTAGAGGGGTCTAAAATGGTTGTCAATGTGGACTAAAACAGATCAAAATTTAGACTTTTGATAAACATTAAAGATATAAAAAAGTTGAAATTATATAGATTTTTTAAGTGCCATTTTGATCAAATGTAAAAAGAATATTTATGTTTTAATTTGCAATTGATGACTGGAGCTGTAAGTGAGATTTTTATTTTTGATTTGGTTTCTTATGACTTGCCATATTTTTGCCAATTTAGATTTTCCGTATTAATTCTGTTTGTTTATCTTTTGTCACATGCTGGTGAAGATTCTCAGTCATCCAGGTTATATCCATTCCAAAAAAGTAAAAAAAAAAAGCAATCCACTGGACTTGGTTTCAAAGTTTGAAGACGTTTTGCTTCCCATCCAGGAAGCTTTTTCAATTCAAAATGTCAGAATTAGTGTTGAGTTTGAAGCTTTATATAGTAAAAAAAAAAAAAAAAAAATGTTTTGGCTTAGAAAACATGCAAATTGAACCAGAAGAACAGATCATCCCCTAAGCAATGGGGAGTCATTTTGGGTTCTTTGATAGCCTGCAATAACCAATACTGATCTTGACTATAACTACTGCTATTTTGTTCGGTAAATGTATCCATTATTTCTAAATGCAGTTCCTGAGTTGCACATTAAAAAAAGCAACACTGACTGATTTGTTGACACGAAAAACCTAAAAAGTGATAAATCAATAATAGTGGATGGATAACTGTTGAATTTTTGGAGAAAATAAAGGGTTTCTAATCTAACCAAATGTATCTTTTTTTTTTCTTTTAGGATGTGTTTGATGTTCATCTTGTGTAACATTTATCCCTGCATGTTTTTTTCAGGTTTTTACAGGCATCTTTACAGCTGAGATGGTTTTGAAGCTAATCGCCCTGGATCCCTATTACTACTTCCAACAGGGCTGGAACATCTTCGACGGCGTCATCGTCTGCCTCAGTCTGATGGAGCTGGGTCTCTCCACTGTAGAGGGCCTGTCTGTGTTGCGCTCTTTCAGACTGGTATAAGAAATCATTCCTTCTCAGCTATGTTGAATTGTTTAGCTTTGCAATGATGGTGTTTAAAACTGTTTTTGTTTGCTTTTTGGTTCATCAGTTAAGAGTGTTTAAGCTTGCAAAGTCCTGGCCCACTCTCAACACTCTGATCAAGATCATCGGTAACTCCGTTGGCGCCCTGGGGAACCTGACGCTGGTGTTGGCCATCATTGTTTTCATCTTCGCTGTGGTGGGCATGCAGCTATTTGGCAAGAACTACCAAGACTGTGTGTGTAAGATCTCCATTGACTGCCAGCTGCCCCGTTGGCACATGAAGGACTTCTTCCACTCCTTCCTGATTGTGTTCCGGGTGTTATGTGGCGAGTGGATCGAAACCATGTGGGACTGTATGGAGGTGGCTGGGCAGCCTCTTTGCATCCTGGTGTTCATGTTGGTCATGGTCATTGGGAACTTGGTGGTAAGTTATCTCAGAGTCACAATTACTCTTTTCATTTTCAATTCAACACTCAATTCTGAACCATGTATTTTAATCTGAAGGCTCAATAGTCTTTTATGTACACCATACATTTAACTTCCTTAAAGGGACAGTTTAGGACCCTTGAAATTGTTGACAGGATGTAAACCATATATATTTTTCACCGTGCAAGTTGTCTTCTGCTTATCCAGTATCGGGGTAGCAGGCTCAGTAGAGACTGCAAGACTTTCCTCTCCCCAGACACATGGTTGAGAAAGAACTAGAGACACCCAGGCCAGCCGAAGGACATAGACCCTCTATCCTGTCTAGGGTCATCCCCTGGGTCTCCTCCCAGAGGGACATGCCTGGAACACCTCCCGAAGGAGGCGTCCAGGAGGTGTCGGATCCACCTCAGCTGACTCCTCTCGATGTGAAGGAGAAGCAGCTAAATAAATGATTTGTGATTTGCTCATTATATGAGAAAATAAAGACTTTATAAATCTCAGTTAGAGGCTGTAATCTAAATAATCTCATCATATTCTCACTGCCTGACAGCTGCAGCCTTTATAAACACGTTTTTTACTTTCTCAGCACTATGCTGATTTTACTTGCATGGTTTACATTTTTAACTTAAAAATGCTGGGATCTTACAGTCCTGCTCAGTCTTTTTTTCTGGAGTAATTTAACCCTTATTAATTCTATTGCAAAATATACAGTAGCCTATTTTATATTTGTTAAACAGCAATAAAAGCATTATTTTCAGCTACATTCCTATTTTTTTTTTTTAACAGCTGAAGGCTGTCAACGCCTTTTCCTGATACCTGTGAAGTAATATAGGTTTTTTTTTCTACCTGTAGATGTATGTTTTATATGGCTACCTGACCCGGTGCAGGACTCAGGAATGGCGATTGAGTGAAAACGTACATTGCTGCTCCCTTCTTTTTATATATGATATTGATATTTTTTTCCTTAATTAGTTAGTACATTTTCATATTAACACTTGTATTGCATTTGTCATCATCATGTTATTTTTATCAAGGAACTGAAGACAGGAAAATCAATATATGATTGGGCCAAAAAAAAAAGAACAAAAGCAGCACATATTCCGCATTATTTAGACTGATAAAATAATTAGTATCAGCATCAGCATTAGAAAAAACTGTACAAGTAGTTATCTAGTGCCAATTCAATCTGAAAAACTCACATGAAAATAAAAGACAATTAGATTAATTTTATTGATACAATTACTTTAGTCTTTGGTGCTCAGACCTCAGCAGGAATCATAGCGCTAAATATTGTTTGATATGCATGAACAGGAGTAAAGAACAGTGATGTTTCCCCTCAGGCCTGAAACTGGTGGTTAAGTGGAGATAGATGAAGTTGGTCAGTTCATGACTGCTGGTTAGCGAGACGGTATGCTTGAGCTGTATGGAGAGATCCAGTGGACTGCATAAGCTGATACTAGTGCATCACTCAGGGACCTGGAAGATGGAAGTCCAGCTTGGATAACACAGGTTGTGAGAACCTGTCCGTGATGAGCAAGCATGAAATGACAGTGGAGAGGAAAAACTCCCCATTGGGAAGAAACCAGTTGAAATCAGACAGGGAACACATTAAGAGTCCAGGAAGAATGAAACTCTGATGAAGTTTTAGCTACGATGGTGGAGGAGGGGCTGGAGGTGAGTTGAAAGGGAGTCATCGGAATTGAAGTCGGACATAGCGCAACCACCGCCTGCACTTGGGTAGCAGACGGAGTGTGATTGGAGACCTTTTAAGACTGATTGGGCTTTCATGGAGGTGTGGTTGAAAGCTGATTAGCTGGTGTCGGAGGCAGATGAAGGCGACTAGTCAGTTTATCAAGTTGAACTTCCCCCTAGGCTCCATGCTAGAATAGTCATCCACTAGAAAATTCAGAACTTGTGTGAGTACATATTAATCATATTTTATCTGAACACTAGTTTGATGATACAGGCTTTTTTGTTTTGATTGGTTTGTATAAAAAAGCACCCAAAACAATACTGACAAACTCAACTGATAATCTCAGCAGTGGTCTGCTGTGTTGCACCACATGATGAATTGGTTTTGAACAATCACTATTCGCTGCAAAATGATTTGTTTTTAACAAAACTACCAGCTTACTAGATTGATAGAATTTAAAGCAATGCTTACAAGACATTTAATCCATCTGTTTTTCTTACTTCATCTCCACATGTTGTTATGCTGTATGGTAAAAACAGCGAGTACTGGGATCAACTGAGGCCACGGTGTCTCTGTTGCTCCAGCTGTTCCACTGCATGCAGCTGTGCATGTTTAGAAATGGTTAATCAGTTAACGTGCAACCATTGATGCGCAGTGCTAAAGAAAGGATGCACGCTAAAGTCACTGTTCCACCCATCTGGTTACCTTTTTGTCAATCTGCTGCCTTGTAGGTCAAAATAACGAGAAACCAGAATCAGCTTTATTGGCCTAATTTGTGTGTAGAAACAAAGCATTTTACTTTTGTTTCGCCTTTCTTTTAATATACAGACATTTACATATGCAAATTTTTTTGAAGAAAGATTTTTTTCTATAAAAATGTGTGTTTGTATGGTATTTTTACAAAAGAAGATGGCAGTAGATTAATACGATATAAATATGTGCAATACCTCAGCCCTCTGACTATATATTAGTCATTAGACAGACAGCATGGGAAAATGAAGTGTCTCTGAAACTTATCATTTTAACTGCCCAATCTTCAAAGCATCTGCATTAAGGTAAAACCGTTTGCATGCAGAGTGACCTTAGACCTGTACATGTCCTGGATGGATAGAGGGTCAGGGAGGAAAAGATCAAATCATAAATACACAGATTTTTTTGGTGTTGTTTCCCTTTAATCTGTATCACACTGACACTTGACATGTTAAATCATCAGTTACATAATGCAGTTTTATCTCAGTACTCTTTATTTACATAGATTGTGGCTTTAGATCTCTGAATTTAACGTAGTATAGTCATATTTCTGTCTATAAATGTATCCAAATGCTAAAGATGTGCTTTTTTTTTTTTTTTTTTTTTTTAACTCTAAAGCTTTTCAAAAAAAATTTTTTTTGAGTATTTCCTGTTGGATATGTTTTTAACACCTGTTTTCTGCACATTCCAGGCTGCTTTACCATTGGCACTTTCCCTCATTTAGTCCTGATCCCTAAAATGCATTGTTTCCAAACCCCTTTCTAGTACCGGTATATGTCATATGTGTTGTTGAATGCATTAAACAACACCAATTACTTACTAGTTAAGATAATTAATTATACAGTCATACAAATGAAATGTAAAGGACCAAATTTAATAACACCCAGGTAAAGTTTGATTTTAAGTTATTCAGCCTAGAAGTTCTTTTCAGAGACAAAATATCACAAACATCTATGACAAAGATGCATTTTCATAACAATAGTTTAAAAATAGTTATGCCTAACCAGCCAGCTTTTCAATGCTAATATATTTGGGCATGGTATTTTATTGGTATTTTCTTATTGATGATTTATCTTCAGTCATGACCTCCAAGTCTTTGGAACTTGAAAGCCTGCTTCTCATGTCCATAATCCTTAGTTTCCCCGTCAGATTCGGGTCAGCTTTCTAACTGGGTCACTCCAAAATATTAAATTACTTCCTGTCATAAGGCATCAGTTGGTAAGATTGAAAGACTATGTTAAACACCAATCTGCCAGTGGTGTCAATAGTGGCAGGATTAGATGTATAACCTGTAACTTTTAATGATAAATTACATTATAAAGATCTATCTTAGATTAAAGATAAGAAAGATTCCAGTTGGGACCCCTGTTTTCAGACTGACAGGCAATGCCACAAAGAAAAGTCCAAAAAGCCCTTTTTCTTACTTTTATACATATTCAGTAAATATTAGATTTGTTTAGAACATGAATTTTAATCAACATATTATATTACACTGTATTATATTCTCATAGACTAAGCTTTCAACAAATTGTTGATAACAGGAACAAAGCAAAATAAATCACACCTAATTCAGGTGTTTTGTAGAGGGAGGGCTTGACTTTGTGTCTTTCAATACCATAAGCATCTAACTGAGCACTTGAAGACTGCAGAGATTTATTCTCTTAACATCCACATCATTTTGGGTAATCCTCGCCTATTTTGTATACCCAAATGGAAAGCAAATAACTTAGGAACTGTAAGCCCAAATTACATCTGTAATGCATTATTTGAAAGCTAACACCCTCTAGTTTCCTAATATATACATTAAAATCGGGTGACTAGAACACAGAGCAACCTGCATCAGTTCAAACATGACTCAAAGTTGTTTTTTTATTCTCTGAAATGATAGGTCTTTTTTGAACAGCAGTAATAAAGACATTCTTGAGAAAAAGCAGGCTTCTTTCCAAGTTATTTCTGTGACCATTGTGGGTTTTTCTTCCATTAAATGAGGAGTATCAACAATTTTGTCCATGTGTGTATAGCAAAGATGTTAATGCCTGCCTAAATTCATCTGTGTCATGGCAACCACATAACAGCGTTATACAATCTGAGGTGTCTCATAGGTTTCAATGGCTTTTATGGAGTTTTCACTCAGTTTTAAAGAAAAAGAAAACTCTAGGTGAGACAGCTGTGATGGTGCTTCCATTGGAAAAATATCTTACCACTGGTACTACAATGTTGCATTTAGACATCATAATTGTGTAGTGCTATTTATTTATTTTAGTTGCATATTTTAGAGGGAAATTGCTTCTGAAACCCTCTGGCCTTCAAGCCCGGATTAAAAATTCTTCATGTAATTTTTTTGAAGGGCCACAGCAACAAAATGGGTTGAGGTCAGCATCTCTTTCTAAAGCCCAAACTCAGCAAGCATGGTAGTCACAGCCTTGCATCAGTTGTCAAGGGACAAGGAAGTGATACAGCATCAGTTTCATGATTCATGAATTTTTTTACTTAACATAGATGACGTCCCTAGACATTAGCAGTATGTAGCTATAAGTTTTCTTTTAAAATCTGATTAAGCCCCTCTGCTGCCATTGTAGGTCAAAATGCTAATTAAAACAGCACTCTTATTGGATTTTATTGCATAGAAACTTTCTCTACATAATAGTTGTGGGGAAGCAGTCTATCTAAAGGATAATCCATGCTGCCCGGGGTGAGAACAGGGAGTTTATCACAAATTATCTGCTCATGCTTCCCATCACTGGCTGGCTCAGCAGCTAAAGATGATCCTTACCAACTGTGCATAGCACCAGTGGGATGTGCACAGCAAGTGTGAGCGTGCACACAGCCAGCACACACTAAGCCAGCTGACAGATTACTTTTGAGTTGTATGCTTTGAACCTTGACTTAAGGGGAGGGATGTAACAGCTGATTCCATATATGTTAAGCATATATTGTAGAATATCCTCCTGAATTATCAGGCAGGATTTACCAATGTTGACAAATATATGGGACAAGTCTGGTATTATTCCTTCTTATCCTTTTGAACAAAGGCTGTTTAATGTTGTGCTTTTATGGAAGAATAGCTCAGCTGCTTTTAAAAGTGTTTTGTCATGTTTAAAACTGACACTTTTTTCCCTATTATATTTTTCAAATCTTATTGTCAGTCAAAAAAAAAAAAATTGGTAAACAAATATTGTCAGATCTTGTCACAGGGTCTCAATTGGATGCTGTGAATTCCTGTTCTGCCTATGTCTGGGTCTCCGCAAACTATAAATCTACCCCAGGTTTTTACTGCAGCTTCCGATGTTTTCATCCAGGATTGCCCTCAGTCCCCTCCATCAGCCTACCTATCCCTGCTGCTAACAGCCTTACCTCAGGATGATGCTGCCACTTCCTTGTGTAACTACAGAGATCGTGTGTTCAGGGGGATGTTGATAGTTTCTCTCCACACTGTTCATTTTGTGTAGGTCAAAAGTTGTATTTTTTCTGCAGTCTTTATGATGCGTTTGGATCCCTAATGTCTATCTAAGCTCTCTACTAGTTGTTTTCCAGAGGCAATTGATTCACCAGTTTATAAATAAAACATCAAACATGTGTTTTGCATATGTAAACTAGGAGTTTTGGTTGTGATTTTTTCCATATATCCAAGTTTGTGATTATAATGTGATCAAATGTGAAAAATCTCTGCAGATATGGATGTTTTTTGCAAGAGTTTTAATGGTGAAAAATATCTATCAGAGTTTTTTTTTTTAAATAATCAGTTGAATTTGTGAGTTAAATAACATTATTTTTGTCTATCCACAGGTGCTGAATCTCTTTCTTGCCCTATTGCTCAGCTCTTTCAGCTCTGACAACCTATCCGCTCCTGAAGAAGATGGCGACCTGAACAACATTCAGATTGCCATCGGTCGCATCCAAATCGGCGTTTCTTGGCTTTCTAGGAATATCGTTGACTTCTTCAGCCATGGCTTGAGAAAGCACAAGCAGAAGGCCAAAAAAGCCACCCAGGCTGAGCCGGTAGTTGGAAATCATATAGAAAGCAATGGGGGAACTATTGGAAGCTACGGAGGAAAGTACATCATACCTGAAGAGGACAGTTATATGACCAACCCAAACTTGACTGTTATCGTTCCCATCGCTCCCGGAGAGTCAGACGTGGAGTTCCTGGAAGAGGAGAATTCAGAGTCATCAGAGGATGAAGACAACAAACCAGTAAGATTGACTTCAAAGTCATATGTTGTTCTGAAGATTATATAACTATATCTTTAAAATACTTTGAAAGATACATTTGCTTAGACAACTGACTTTAAAAAATATCAAGTGCTATATTTAAGCTGTTGGGTTGTTTTGCTTTCTTTTGTTTTGCACACAACGGCTGCTGTGGCTGCTGTTGGTGACAATGTTGCAGCATCATCAGACTGTTAAACTATATGAAATATTCAACAAGTTGGGACATTTCCTTTTAGCTTTTATCTTGGCTCCAAACATGGAAAGAAAATGTTGCTAGTTGAGAGGTACCCTCTTGCTCTCAAACAACTAAACCTCTCATGAAAAAAGTATGTCTTTATGTCAAAAGCATGCTAAATAATTTTCCACATAACGTAATGAGGTACTTACACACTGTTCCAGATGAAAATAAAATAAGATATTCACAAAGTGCTTTACAAAAAAAGTATATAACAGCCCAAAAGACAAGAATGCATAAAAAAAAAGAGAAAATAGAAAGTAGATTTAAAAACACATGAATCTGCCTAGCTTATCCACTGCCTCCACCTGGCTTCGCTCTACTCTACCTTACCAGTTTTCACACATTTCCATCAATGATTTTACATTATTTTACATTTCTGGTGTCCCTCAGAGATTCGCGACACCAAGAAAGCTAGTATCTGTACAGAACAAGCAGTAATGGAAATGTTTGAAAGCTGGTGGGGTGGAGTACAGCCAGACCAAGTGGAGCTAGTGGATAAGGTGCTTATTTCTTGGTGCAAAGGAAAAGAGTTCTGTTGTACAGGCAGCATCAGCAGGCTATTATAACAGCAAGTCAGGGGCCTATGAGTGCATATTCCTGTCCTAAAGAGCTCTCCAAGTCAGTAAAACAATTTTGAATTATACTCGAATTATACTTGAATTAAACCGAATGCATAGTATCAAGATTTGAAAACTTGAAGGCCTTTGTCAGAAGCCTGATGGCAGCATTTTAACTGTTTTAAGGCTTTACAATCAAGTGACTGAGGAACTGCAATAATCCGATCTTAGCTCAAAATTATTAATAATTATTAAATGGAAAAATGGAGTTAAGTTTGGCAATATAAAAAAATACAGGAATTAACCATACCCTGATATTTTGCCTAAAAATCATGAGATCCAAAATAATGATGGAAGGGTTAACAGCAGTCCCTATTGGTAACCCTCAGTTTCGGTCAGGTTGAGAAATTATTGATTTTTTGTGGGGCGCCTTGGGCCGGGTTATTTTTTGGACAGAGTTGGATTTTTTATTTGTTTTATTTATCTCAACTGGATAGATTGGATTCTATAATCCAGGCAAAACAAGTTTAAAGCCAAGCACAGGATATGCAATTTCTTTTGCACAGTGTATATAAAAACTCCCATATATATTTGGCCTAAATCAGGGGTCTTCAACGTTTTCCAGACCAAGGACCCCCAAATTGATGCCGAGATGGACCAGGGCCCCTTAATTATATATATTGTTTGAAATTGTGTTATATCAAACTGGCCCTATAGTTACTCTATTACTTACGGAGTAATGTAAAAAAAAAAGTAATTACTCCATGGGATTATTAAAGTATTTCTGATTCTGAGTCCTGGTTGATGAGACAGGTGTTGTGAATGAAATGGTGCTCAGCTTGAAAGAGCTCCTGTGTGTCGCTGAATAATGTTCTGCCTCCATTTATCTGTTTACTACAGTGTGTTGAATTCATGTTAATGCGTATTTAATGACATTTCATTTAGTGGGGAAAAAAATTGCAGGGGTAATATAAAAAAAAGAATATCAACCAAAACTGCAGTACCTCGTGGACCCCCTAGGGGTCGCGGACCCCCTGTTGAAGACCTCTGCCCTTAATGATCTTGGAAAGTTGAGTTTAATGAAAAGTCAACAATCCTTTGTTGTATATTTAAGATTAGCCATTGTTTTGGTTAAACTGGAAGAGATATTTGTTTTATTTTTTTATGTTGTTGTCCCTTTGGTCTGTTTGTCTGCAGGACATTTGATGAGGAGGCCCGTCATGCATTGTTAAAGTTTTGTTAAAATTTTAGACATATAACGTTTTTTTTTTAGAAACCTAGCCTAAAGGTGATTTTTTTTCATCTAAAGGTGTTTTTTCCTTTTTAAATGTTTGCCTGCTCTCTGTCTGCTGCAATTGGCTATAGACTTTGTGCTCTTCAGGAATAAAATGGAATGAATCCATTATTTGGCAGCAACAGTGGGGTAGGGTGCAGGAAGTCACCCTACAATTGGAAGGTGACCAGTTTCAACCCAAGCTCCCTCAGTTTGTTGTTGTGTGACCCTTCAAATGCATTGCCGACTGATGGTGGTCAGTGAGCACGATGGCGCACGATTGCACCTGTGTAGCTTTGTTTCTTTAGTGAAACCAGGGCAGCTGTGGCTACAGTGAAACCAGCCATCATCAGTGTGTGGATGAATTAATTAATTTATGTGCAAGATCAGGGAATCAATTGTAGCACTGCTAGGTTATTTATCCCACTACTTTTGCTTTTTTGCAGTTTAGAAAAGAGCTTATCTTATTTTTACAAACAGCAACAGAGGAACTAACTAACAATTTATCAGAAACAAGAAACACAGACTTAAAGGTAACTTTAAGAAAACTGAATTAAAGCTTGGTATTTATGTGGAATATTTCAGAGGAGATCTAAGATGCACAAAAAACAAACTCTTACGCTCCGGCAAACGCTAGTTGGCAAATTAACTAGCAGGCAGATTAGCCAGCAGGCTAATCTGCCTGCTGGCTGGAGAAACAGCTAAGAACCTTAAAATAAACTCAAACACCAAAGTAATTTATTAACTATTTTAATTAGATCATTCAGTAAATCCCAAATGATAATGATACGTGTGTGTGTCCATGATAACAGCTAAGTGGCTTGCTATTTAAGCCAAACCCACCAACTAGTATAACAGACACTAATATAAAGTCACACAACACAGACACTGTTAATTAGACATGTTCTGTGCACACATTTTTTTTATTGATGACTTGCAATGAAAATAGTCAGTAAGGTGCTCCAAATGTGTGAGCTAATGGTGGATAGAGCATGTAGTTTGGCACAGTTATGCACAGGGTGTGTTGTATGGTAGAGTTCGTCTTTCTATGGCTGTGTCTGAATGTTCGCCCGAACCGCTATATAGAGCACTATATAGTGGTTATGACATTTTCTATGTCTGAATGTCTAGTGGATGAAAAAAGTATTGGACTCAAAATTTCCCACAATGCACCTTGAAAAGTGGTGATTATGGTCATTAGACGTGCAGATATATTCCCTGATTGCTTTGCAAGAGTTTTCATGGCAGAGCATCATGTGATCTGGTTTGCTGTTGAGAAAGAACAAAGATGGTGCTGGCATCATGGGTCACTTGACCAACGGGGAGTGAAAAAAGTAGTGCTCATCAGGCCAAACGGTCATTTAAAAGAGTTTACTGTAAAGTCCATTATATAGTCACCGCTCTATATAATGATTGAAGGATTAGGGGTTAGGGCAGACGATCAGTTACAAGCCCAGGTGATGAGCTAAAAGCCCGATTAATCCAGGTGCCGGGTCAACCAATGTATGTTGGGTTGATGGATTTTAAAAACTTTGTGACCCAGCATATAGTTGCACCAAAAAAAAAAAAAACAAGTCTCATAAAAATAACCCTACTACCCTAAATATAACTCATAATGGGTAAAGCTTTTGAGTGGATAATATCAACATTTTTTAGAGTGCGGATACTTGGGTAAAATAATACCTCAAAGGGCAGTGGATTTTTTTTTTCTTTGATGTTTGGATCCCAAGGCCTTTAAGGGGCCTTACAGAAAGCATGTAAGCCTGTTAAGCTAATTAATGCTTCCTAATTTTAGAACCAATCACTGGTCCAGTGGAACCAATAGCCTTCAGATGTCTCCTAATATTTTTATCAGCATATAATTGGACCTCAGTATGTTTCAGTAGTTCAGAAGGTGTCATGATCTTGGCGCTGATAGCTGCCTTAAATGCTCATTCCACTCACCTGTCTAACTCTGCCCGGTTGCTCATTACAGCTTAGCGGCTAGAGCGTCTATCACTGGAAACTCTGTTAGAGAAAAACACAGGTTATTGACTAGTATAATCTGACGGATAATTATCCATGTGAGTCACTAACCTGGTTTAACAGTTCAGGGCGCCGCCCACAGTGTCCCAGATGCTGCAGCCCGGGGGAAAACGTGCAGGAGTCTGGAGCCTGGTCAGGGATACCGATGAGAACAGGAACAGGCTGGTTAAGACTGACCATTCAGATCAGGCAGGCTCAGTGGTTGAGAGGCACATCAGGTCAGGATCAGGAAATCAGAAACAGTATGGTATGCTAACCCATCTCACCCCTCTCACCAGATAATCTGGCACTGATAGCTAGATGCATGTACATTAAATAGAGGCAGAAACAGGTGGATCAAATGAGCAGTAATGAGCAGTGGTAATAGTAGCAACATCATGCTGTGGGGATGCTTTTATTTAGATGTGCTAGTCAGGGTTAAAAAAAAGATTGATAGATGCATGTTACCAATGTGACAAAACGTGAAAGGGTTTAAGGGGCATAAGTTTACAAGGCACTAAGTACAACTGGCTATAAATCAATTAGTAGCCCGATTCAACTAATATATTAAATATGTTTAATGTTGATTAGGAGCTCTAATGACATCCTTTCCTAGGTAGGTGAAAAACACACTACTACTGTAAAGTTCAATACTAAACAAATGGATATGTTTGAAGAAAACAAAGAAAAAATGGTTCCCATAACTCAACTGCAAGTATGGATCCCCATTACAACTACCACTTCCACCCCCATTGATTGGTACTGAATGTAACCTTTGATTTAATTCAGAAGGTTGTGTTTTAAAAAGAAACACTAGTCAAATTAGTGGACTTCATTTAAGCAGCATTTATTAATCCTTACGAGGGAGAGCAGATACAATCTTTGCCATTAATCCTTTTGTTCCGGTCAAAGGATTTCACTTACTACGACAATTTGGAACAAACACAGTAATGTAGATTTAGCTTAGCTCCTTTCCTAAATATCTCACTTTGAAAAAAAAAAACTCCTGATGCCTAGACACTGTGTAGCCTTGCAGGTGTGCAACAGCGTGAATAAAAATCTTTTGTGTAGAAAGTTAAATAAAATAAATACTCAGCATTAATAAAATATCGGGCAATGGAAGTCTAGTGGTTAGGGCATAGAGCTTTAATTCCTGACGTTTTGAGTTTGAGCCCCACTCCCACAGACTGCCACTCTGGGTTTCTGAATAAGACCCTGAACCCCACATTGCTCCCTGGGTGCCTCATGATGGCAGCCCACTGCTCCTCAAGGGGGTGGGTTAAATACAGAGGTACATTTCTCCAATGTAAAACCAATAAAGTTCAATCAAGTCCATCAACATGAGAAATCTGGGCCATGTATAAAATATCACATCTTCATGGTTGTAGCAAAATTTTTAAAACTTGCTGGTTTTTGGAAAAGTTTTTGTCACATCAGCAAAAAACAAGTTCTGAGTAAAAGCAACTACAGAGCATAATGCTGCCAACACCATGTCTCATTATGTGTCTTGTGTTTTTTTGGTGATTTTTTTGCCTTTTACTGCCAAAACATGCTTTCTGGTCCTGAGGGCTTTAAGGTCAGTGTGGGTTTCATTAAACCATTACACACTGTGCAATTCACTGCAATTCAAGATTGCATCCAAAGGAAATATAAATGTAATTCCTTTATGTGTTTCTTTAATAAGTTGTTGTAGATGAAGCAGTCTGTCTCACTGTGGATCTGGAGATTCCGAAACAGAAGGCACTCTGTTTTACCTTTAGAGGATATTAGCAAGACATGGATGTTTTTTTTTTTTTTTAAATCATCAGTTTTACACTTTTAGTCCAGACATTTTTTTTTAAAAATTAGACATTTGTTGCATGTATGACTCAAACTGGTGCGCTGTCATGCTGCCACTCTCTCAGCAACTTCAATTACCAATTTCTGTTTTTTCTGTAGTTTTTTTTGTCGTCTTACCATTTTGGAAAAAACATCTAGGTTTTTTTGTGACATCACTGTTGTGACGTCACTTGTTCAGCTGAAACTCATTTCTAGATATTTCGATCCACTGTGACTGATGTTAGGTGTTTACCCAATAAGAGTGAATACTGAAATAAACCCAAAGGTGCTTTATTAAAGTATTTGCATAAGGCTGTACAAAGTTGTGCAATCCGATTACTTTCTTTTAAGACATTTTCTCAGAGCAAGTTTATTTGTTTTCAAGTTCAAGTGAAAAGAATACATGTCACAAAGAGGAAAAAAAAGATACATTGTCTAATCTCTTCAAATCACAAAAACCCGACATAACAAGGTGGGTTTGCAGATGGTATGTGCTTTATTTCAGCATGAAATATTTGGCAATTGAGTTTTGGGGCCAGCTAGCTTTAAGGGTTAGCTTAGCCCACAGAAGTCCACAGTTTGCCTACAGAAAGAATTGCCATCGATAATTATTTGGATCTGGCCATTTTTAATGAGTGCAAAAAGGTATGGCCTTTTTATGCAGCACATCCAATGACATGAGGTCACCTTGGTTTCAGTTACACAGAAAAGCTAGTAATTGAATCCTGAGCTTGTGGCGTGTGTTAAGGTGGAGGTTAGGTCTTTTCCTTTTCCTGCCTGTCTGTTTGGCGAGCGGACAGGAGCGGGCCAGATGTGAAGCCAGGCTTTGTAGAGCAGATTAAGCTCCAACAGTTGAGCAGAGCCAGGGCTGAGCTGAACAGCCTGCTGTCTATGCTCTACATCACACCACCCGCCTTCAACCCGCCATCAGCTTAACGCAGCATCAGCAGCTGCTCACAGCAACAAGAAGGCTGAATTCTGCATGTATAGAGCGTTAAACACACACAGTTGACAAGAATATGGTTGATAACTAGTTCAAATTTTCTAAACCCACTTTAGAGATATGACTGTTTCTTATCATAGTGTCTCTGTTGCTCTGTTGTCACACCGCTGTTACTGCTCTGTTTATTGACAATAAAATTGGTGATGCTGGTAATCTGGTCCCTAGGTCCTCTGATTATTGCTGGATTAAACTCCATACTGTTTTATTGGATTGAGTCTGCACCTTTTTCCTAAAAATCTCTGGAAATATGCTGCTTTTCGTAAACAGAAAAAAATCTCCTTAAAGTTGTTGTACAGCCCAGAGGACTCTAAAAGTCAAAGCAATGGAACTGGGTGAGCCAATCCTAATGGAATCAATCCCTATTGGCTCCCACATTTTGGGCAAATCCATTGTTTTTCCTGCTCTGTAAACAGATTACATCCTGTTACTGTTGCAAATGCCCAATCCACATTTATTCGTGCATTAAAATTGAGAGTTGTGTATTAACAGTGAATTGTCTACCCCTCCAGGAGAAGATTAGCCTCTCAGAAGGAAGCACAGTGGATATGAGGAAGCCTGGAGAAGAGGAAGATGACCTATTGGAGCTGGATGATGATAGTATGGACCCAGAAAACTGCTTCCCTGACTGTAAGTGAGCTTTTCACAACTTTGAAAACAAGAAATTTATTCTAATTATGAAATAAAGAGTTAGCCTAAAAGACGAAAGTAACCACAGTAAACATAGCAATTACCAAACATACATTTTTCAAAATAGAGAAAATCAAGATGAAGATTGATGCAGTACAGTAAAAATGTAACATGCTGTCATTTTTTTTTCCTGTTTTGCAATAAAAAAATGTACGTTTATTAAGTGGCAAAAAGTTACACAGTGTGCCTTTAAACTAAACTTTTTTAAATCCTAAAAAAAAATATGTTAAAAATGTCAAAATAACATGCAAGTACACAAAGACAGACAGACAGACAGACAGACATTAAACTAGAGGTACTCACTTTGGTCTAAGTAATTTTCCTATCTTTTATTACATTACTATCGTGACAGTGTGTTTAAGGTATTGTCAATGCTGTGACATCGACACCAGCCGTGGATTGGGTCAAGCTTGGTGGAGGCTGAGGAAGACCTGCTACCAGATCGTAGAACACAGCTGGTTTGAGACCTTCATCATCTTCATGATCCTGCTCAGCAGCGGGGCTTTGGTAAGGGTGCCAGAGGACCACACCAACTTCCTGAAACAGTGATTAACAACAGCTTTAAATGAGCATGCGTTGTTCTCTGTTAGGCATTTGAAGATATCTACATTGAGAGGAGAAAAGTCATTAAGGTGGTGTTGGAGTACGCTGACAAAGTCTTCTCCTACATTTTTGTGCTGGAAATGTTCCTCAAATGGATAGCATATGGCTTCAAGAAGTATTTTACCAACTACTGGTGCTGGCTTGATTTTCTCATTGTGGATGTGAGTAAAGATTTTGCTGTCATTTGTGGTATTATTGCATGTCATGAAATGTTGCTGTAATTCATTTTAACACTGTAGTATTCCAGGCTGAATTGTAATTCCTTTCAATACATCTAAATTTCTAAAATTAACCTTGCAGTGGGTTCTAGATTACGGTGCATTGCAAAAGAAATCATAACTTTTTACAGCTTTGGGAATCAATGCTTTAAAAGACTTACGGTGAACTTTAAACATGACCTCTTGGGGCTGTTTTTCCAAGCAACTTTCTTTTTGGCACTCTTTTATAATCCTTAATTTTGTACATTCAGTACATGAATAATAGTCTTGAGGTCAGCAGATCTAACTCTTGGTTACTTTAAAACATTGGATGTTGTTTATAATTTACGAAACTTGACCTAACTGCTCCTTTTCCTGATCTTTCTTTTTTTTTTTTTTACTGTTTGTTCATTAATTCTCTGTAAAAAAAAATAAAAAATAAAAAAAAAACAAAAAAAAAACAAGTGAGGCCTTCATTAACAAGCTGAGATACTGAACTTTACACTGAGATTCAGTAACAAACAGGTTAATTCCCTCTATGCACACATTCATCTACTTCTGACAGGCAGTGGGTTGCACTGTATTTTGAAAAGGGTGAATATAAATACAACACAGCATTTTCAGAGGTTTATTTTTTAAAAGTAATTGTGGAAAAATAGCATTTATTTACTTCTAATGCATAATGATGTCCTACTTTGTAGGAGTTTTGTGTCACATAATGTTGAACGGCTACTGGGTTATGAACAATTATGCAATGCACTGTTTTATCAGGAAACCTCATCCCAGTTTATTTCCAGTTTAAACCTAAGTCTATAAAAGTGTTACCCATTACAACACCTTAACAACATGTACTTTTATGTCACTGAAGCAGCTAAATAAAGCACTGATTCTTATATAAGACACAGAAGCAATCATTGCTTTAGACCAGGCATCCCCAAAGTCTGCCCTCGAGGGCCGCTGTCCTGCAGGTTTTAGAGGTTTCCCTGCTTTAGCAAAGCTGATTCTGATGACTGCAGTTCAGCAACAGCCTGTAAATCAATTATCAATGTAAATCAGCTGTGCTGGAGCAGAGAAACCTCTAAAACCTGCAGGACGGTGGCCCTCGAGGACCGACTTTGGGGATGCCTGCTTAGACAGTTTGTTTCTAAATTGGCTCTGTACAGAGGTGGGTAGTAACTAGCTAAATGTACTCAGTTACTGTTACTTTAGAATTGATTTGACAAAAATACTCTTTTAGGAGTAGATTTCCAGCACCATACTTTTTAAATTAACTTAAGCTATATCTTGATAAAATATCACTACTCTGACTATAGCGGTGAAGATTCTCAGTCAAGATTTTCCCGCTATCATCGCAACCCCACCCCCATACAGGAGAACAGAACATGTCGCCTGTTCAACGAGGCCAACAATTCCCCCTAATGACCCCTTTCAGAGACATAGACCAGTACTGAGTATTGCAGCCAAACAAAGAACCCAAATTACCCCCATTCCAAAGGGGCGGACCCGTTGAATTTGCATGTTCACTCTATAAATCCTCAAACTCAACGCTATTTCTGAAACTTGGAAACACAGTCCAGTGGATTGTTTTTTAACTTTTTTGGAAAGTCTTACTTGACGTAATTGTTTGGCTATTTCATCCATCATAAGTAATTTCACTGAATAATTAACCAGCTAATTTATATTTGGAAAAAAAGTGCTAGAAGTTAGAAGGTTAATGTTTATATAACATTGGAGGTAAAGCAATAAAGTCTACTTATTGTCAGAGCAGGAACCGGTGTCTTAGGTTCTATATTCAATTGAAAATTGGTTTGGAAAAGTTTTTTGTTTCTTTATCAGAGTCTTAAAAATACCAGATTTGGCCCAAAACTTTACATTTTGGTCTCTATTTATTACATAATTTAAAACTCAGATGTTATGATAATTTATGCAAACTTTTTGCCAAATACTAATAGGAAGAATTACTGTTACTCTTACTTCAGTACATTTTTTTGGCTACTCTGCCCATCTCTGCTTCTGTTTGGCATTGACTGTTAGTCTCTGTAAGCATTGAGACATACTGGGAGTAGACTGGTGTGGCTCATCCAAAGTGGTCGAGGCGTGCAGCCAAAGGTCTGACTTGACCTGTTCTGATTTCACCTGCTGTTGCACAGATCGCCACAGACCGCACTATTGTTAGGGTAAGTTGTAGTTAGCAAGTCCCAGGTGAGTGGAAGCTCTGGGACAGGACAACGACATCTGCATCTCGAAAGCCTTTGTGTTTCTTCACTTCTAATTGCTGCTTTGTTGCGATATGAAGGCTTCAATCTTCTTCCTAAACAAACGGATTGGACATGCAACTGTGATGAAAATAAATAATCATTTTGGATTCAAAACTATTTGCTCTTTCCTGATTGGTCAATTTGGATCCATGGCTTTTATATCAAAAACAAATGCAGCATCATAAGCTCTAAAAATTATCTACAGAAGATCTTGTTTACTCTGAATGGTCATAAAGAGCCTTGCAACAGTATTCTTACCTCTAAACCTAAAGCAGTTTCACATGTAGGTTTAAAACATGTAATTGCTCTCTATTATACATGATTAATTCACAATAAAGGTTTAATTACCCCTTTAAGTCAACTAATTTATGATTTTTTTGGAAAGCATTTTTCAGTTTAATAAGACGTAAGACGTACAAATGAAGTCTTTAAATGTATAACTTAAAAAATTTTAAACATATTTCTAAAGCCTAGGGATGTGAACTATATGACAGGGCTTCCAACTAATCAAAGAGGTCTATCAAAGATATTTTCAGCTATTTTGGAGTAATGTGTTTATTGTGAATAAAAAGTTGGATCGCCACACAACCACAATGTATATTGGGGATACGTATATTACAGATCAACACAGGTTAAAGGTTATATTTATAGCATGTTAAATTTCCTCTTTTAACCTTAAATAAAACCCAGTGCTTATTTGCTTTCAGGAAGTGAAAATACTTTTCAAGATGCCCTAGATTGATTGTAGGGGGGAGGAGCTAAATAGAGAACAACCAAGGTAGAAAAGCGTTTGAGTCAGCATGATATTTTAGCGGGTTGTATAGGTTTCCTTTCCAGCAGTTTTGTTTATAGCATGTAAAACTGCCTGGTCACTACATCCAACGTAATATCTTTGCTAAGACTTCGAAATCGATGTTCACCATATCCATACAGTCTTAATAAGTTTGAGCTATAGTGTGAAGAAGAATTGTCAAATTTCAATTTTTAAATCTGGTAGAGATACACCCTAAAACACTTGGAGATGTGGCAGTGGCAAAGGGTAATTCTATAAATATATCTGTGAAGATTCTCATTCATCCAGGTCATGGTAAAACTTCAATCAAGGCAACTTGACGTGAAGATTCACCTATCAACATATAAGGTGGTCTTAGACATAACCTTTCACCTACCTACAGTACAAAGCACTTTTAGGAACAATACCTAGAGGATTCTCTCTCACTCGCCCTCACCTGACTCACACTTCAACGAGGCATGTGACCAACACCACCCTGACAAGGGAGTTAACGACCCATCAAAACCCCCATAACAACCACTAACACCCCCCATGTGAGCTCCTTAGCAAATCCAGTTGGAGGGATCAAAGCCACCTATTGCCCCCCCCAATTCTTTGTTACACGTACAGTATATTAATCTCAGTGCTCCCCACCACTAGTCAGAACTACAGAAGCCTCTTGGATGAAGACAGTGGGATAATTCAAAGCATTTATTCAAGACAGAGCAGGCTTTTGATCTGCGGTATCAGTGGATCACAATCGCCAGAGAACAAGGTAAAATCCAGCCAGTGGGCTGCCAACAAGATGCGGTGGGCTCCACCCAGAGTTTCCCAGATGCTGGAGCCTTGGAGGACAAAGCAGGAGTCTGAGCCAAGTCAGGGAAACAGATCGAAACAGTAAGGCTCAGAGGTCCAGGAGTATGAATTCCAGTCAGGGATACAGATTATAACAGGAACAAACTGTTTCAGGGTTACACAAGTCCACAGACAGCCCAGGCAGAATCAGTGGTTGAGAGGCAGAACAGGTCAGGATCAGGAAATCAGAAACACTATTGCACACTAAAAACACTCTCTCCACTGAGATCAGACAGGAACAGGCAAACTCAGTGGATGAGAGGTAGATCAGGTCAGGATCAGGAAATCAGAAACACTGTGGTATGCTCAAAACCCCTCTCACCACTGGCTAGAGAGAACCAGATAATCTGGCCTTGATAGCTGGATGCAGGTATATTAAAAAGAGGCAGAAGCAGGTGGATCAGATGAGCAGTAACGAGCAACTGGGCAGAGTTAGACAGGTGAATGGAATAAGTAATTCAGCCAGCCATCAGTGCCAAGATTATGACTTTCGCCTTCCATTGCCTAGACTGAATTTTTTCAAGCATGATTCTAGAAGTATTGACTTAGAATGGCTAAACACAGATCCACACTAAATTTGTTATTATTAGTTTATTATATCAGATTTTTATTTGTAAAGAAATGTAGAAAACCATATTTTACTTCAACCAACTTCTACCATGTTACTTTTTGTTGGTCTATTCCATCAAATCTCAATACGTTGCCCTGAGGGTTGCAGTTGCAGTTACAAAAAATGTGAAATATTATAAGTTATAGATACCTTTGCAAATGTGTTTGTGGATACCTGCGCTTTTCTACTTTGTATTTGGAAATGCATCGGTTACATTTACTTCTGTTCTCTTATCTAATGTAGAGATTTATCAGCTTTTTTAGGTTTGACTCTCATCATGCTTTTTTTTTTATTCTGTTTTTTATTTAAGCTTTTTTTTTCTTTCTTTTGGGGCCAGATTTGTAAACTCTCCTGAAAATTATATTTGAGTATCTTCTTTAGATATATTGAATCAACACATCTCTAAATAGACTTTTATAAAGAAATTCAGGACATCGGGAACCTATACACTCTAAATTTGTTTTTAATTTATGGATATGATTTACTGCTTACAAATTCGGAAACAATTTGGCCAAGACTTAGAAGTTCTTTATAAAACTCCCTCTATTTGATATATATACATATTTATATGCATATATAGCTGGGTATGCATGCATGGACTATGTTGACCATATGTGCATACTTGTCTGTGTTTTGTCATCATCAGTTGTCTGTCTGACATTTATTTCATGCCATCCTCATTTATAGCTGCCATCCATGGGTCATTCAACAGAGGAATGCCATTTTGTTTTGTCTGCTCTGGATGTAGAATAGAGTGGAAGTTTAAATTATTTATATGATAACTAAAAGACAAACCAAATTAAAAACAAAATTTTAATAGGTGTCTTCCTAACTGTGGAATGTCCCAAAATACACAAAAATCACCAAATATGGCTCTTAAAAAACAGTCTGATTTTACATTGTGTATTTCTTCTGCTTAGTCTTTTAAATTTTTCTACTTTTTATATTTGGTTTCACTGACTTGTTGATTTTGAATAATTTGTCTCCTAATAGAGGTTTATGTTTTCTGGTCTCCTGCTAGGTGTCTCTTATTAGTCTTGTTGCAAATTCACTGGGATATTCTGACTTTGCTGCCATCAAGTCACTAAGAACGCTCCGGGCTTTGAGACCTCTCAGAGCTCTGTCCAGATTTGAAGGCATGAGGGTAAGAGATTGTTGTTTATTTCTGCTGCTTTAATGTCTGTGCGGAGAAAATCCAATTAAAAAGTAATTCTGTAATGTAAAATTATGTGCTATTAAATCCATGGAGATATTTAAATTTCAAGTGCAGACCACACCTAAGAATTTAATCCCAACATTCGCCATAGCAAAAAAAGAAACATATCCTACTTGCCCTGGCTACGACCACCTTGACTTGGATTGGGTTTCAATTGTTAACTGAAAGCACCAATATTATTTTACTCTTAAAATATAAATGATCAGGTACCCCACTGTGGTGAGCTGTGGGACCCCTCAGGGTTGTGTGTTTAGTCCAATGTTGTTTATACTGTTAATACACAGTGGTTTATAAAATAATAAGGAAAGCCTGATAATAAAATTTGCATATTAGGCTGATTAATATGCGAGGACAAAGTCAGATAGCTTATCATTAGTTTATTATGATGCAGAAGAACTGAGTCAATGTTCAATGAGGACACTATTAATGATGACGTCTGAGAGTCACGGCATTAGTGCACATGCCTTAAAGTGTTAACATCTTCCACTATTATTTTTGAAGATTCCCGATAAATGTCTAGATTTTGTTTTGCTATTATGTGTACAAAGAAATGATAATAAATGTATTCATTTGGATTTCAGAAAGAATATTATTTGGAATTTATTCGCTCAGTAATCTAGTGCCATCAGATTTATTTCTCATTTAAACAAATAGCTTTGCTGACATTCTGTTGTCGGCATTTAGATGCCTCACAGTTTCTAGCATACCTTTACTATTTTCCTTCATGCAATGTATTTCAAAATGTTCTGACGTGATTTAAAATCGTCAGCTTTAGGTTTTAGGTTAAATTCCTTTTTGAAGCAATCTGTACTCAACTAGAAAATAATCTTCTTATATCAGCTTTTGTCTTTGCATGGAGGGAAATGTCCTCTGTTGAACGTTCAGATCAATAGCAATATAGGTTCCATCCAGCAGTTGGATAGTAACTTCCTGAAGGAACATCCTTTTTCTGTCTTTCTGCAGGTGGTAGTCAACGCTCTTATAGGAGCCATTCCCTCTATTATGAACGTGCTGCTTGTATGCCTTATCTTCTGGCTCATCTTCAGTATCATGGGAGTCAACCTGTTCGCTGGCAAGTTTGGGAAGTGTGTGAACAGAACAGGTTTTATCCACAGCGTCTCAGTGGTCAACAACAAATCAGACTGTCTTGCCATGAATGACACCCAGTTCTACTGGACAAAGGTGAAGGTTAACTTTGATAACGTTGGACTCGGCTACCTTTCACTTTTGCAAGTGGTGAGTTTCCCCTGCTGGTCATTTTTTTTCTCTGGTTTTAATATTATATAATGCACTATTGCTGCTTTGAATAACATTTAATATGGAACCAAAAAAAACAACGTTCTATGGAGCAACAGCTTAAACATCTTGCAGTGCAATAATAATTAGTCTGAGATCTGTATATCTACATTTATTGATATGCTTTAATGAACTCATTAATCTCATTAATAAACAACTTATTTAATATTAAGTTGCTTTGATCAAACAATGAAGTTCTGTTGTGTATTTAGGCAACATTTAAGGGATGGATGGAAATAATGAATGCAGCCGTTGATTCCAGAGGGGTAAGTGTGTTTCTCCAGGGTCTGAATTGTTTATTTTTTTTCAGCAGACAGTTGATTCATTAAAACCTTTTGCAGGTGGAGGAACAACCCAGCAGAGAAATCAACCTCTACATGTACCTCTACTTTGTCATCTTCATCATATTTGGCTCCTTTTTCACCCTTAACCTCTTCATTGGGGTTATCATTGACAATTTCAATCAGCAAAAAAGAAAGATAAGTATTTACAGAACTATTGTAGACTTTGGATCAAGTCTTGTCTTGCCTAAATATAAAACATGCATGTCTTTACTGCTTCTATTGGATTGGCAAATAAAAGTAGCAGCCAATTGTTTGTGAATTAATCAATCGCTTCAAATAGTCACAATTAGTTTGTTAAGGTCTATAAAATAATTTTGTTCATTTGTGATCTGGAGCGTACAAGGCTCACATAAATAATACCAGGGTCTAATAAGGAATTGTTATAGACGATCATGCCATTCCTAAGCAATTTCATACCGATTACATTTACAAATGGAAATGTACAACTTTAAAAAAGAAATGATGTCTCAAAATAAGAAGATGGTAAGGCCATTGGTCAGAACAGTTTATTTTTAATTGTGCTTTTAATACACATTGGAACAGTTAGAATCTTGGGCACTATTTTTTATTCAGATGTCGACAATATTTTAGTAAGACTCCATCTAGCTGAATATCATGCAGAAGTGTGAATTATTTGCATTTTAAATGGGTTTTAACAATGTATACACTGGCTGTCATAACTGTAAAACATATATATTGCAGTTTTATTAAGTTAAGTTTGGTTTTGAATGTAAAACTGAACAAAATTGGAAAATAAGAAATCAGGTTCTTAAGAGAAACCTATTCTGTGTTGGATGTATGAGAAAGTATAATATTTTGGTCATAGTGCATATTAAAATGATACATATACCAGCTCTCAGCACGGTGTTGGAGGGGTGTTGTTTTGGGCTTGAATCCACTGCCCCTAGCAATCGTTCTGTAATCCATGAACTCCTCTGTGTACCAAACTATCCAAATAAAATAGGAAGCCATCTGTTAAACAGCTAAAGCTTGACTAAAACTGGGCCAAGAGCAAAACAATAATGACAGAACAGCTAAAAATAAAATGCGGATTCCTTTTGCAAATCTTGTCAAATTGTAGGACTGACTTGCTGCGCAATGAGCCTGTAAACTTCAAGTCAACACTACTCTGTAGGGATGTGTAACATTTACAGAGTTTTAAACAACACTTACAGAGTAAGGGAAGAAGCTCAAACCTGCCTAGAGAACTTAGGAACGTAAAACAGTTTTTTTCTTGTATGTTTTATTGTTTTTTATTTTATAAAATTGGCTGAGTATAATAGATATTGGATTTTTTTATATATACTTAGGTGGACAGGATATCTTTATGACGGAGGAGCAGAAGAAGTACTACAATGCAATGAAAAAGTTGGGAACTAAGAAACCTCAAAAGCCAATACCAAGACCCGCGGTAAACCAAAAAAAAAAAAAATGCTCATGATTATGAACTGTTAAAGTTAAATTACAGACTGACTGTTCATTTTCTCCAATCATAGAACCTTCTCCAAGCCTTCTTCTTTGATCTGGTCTCCCAGCAAGCCTTCGACATCATGATCATGATGCTCATCATCATCAACATGGTGACCATGATGGTGGAAACCGACGAGCAGTCGGAGCGAATGGAGTCCATCCTCAACATTATCAACCTTGTCTTCATCGTTATCTTCACGACCGAATGCCTGATTAAGCTCTTTGCTCTCCGATGTTACTTCTTTACCGTTGCATGGAACATTTTTGACTTTGTGGTCATAATTCTCTCAATAGTGGGTAAGAATTTTTAAAACAAAGTCTGTGCCATACTTTACAGTTTAGATATTTGCCTCCCATGTTAAAAGGGAGGCGTTGAGCAGCCATAAAGTTGGTAAAGAACCATTTTGTTATCAATCGGGTAAAACTTCATGAGTAGTTATACAAGCAAACACTACAGATACTACCAACTAGGCAAATGGACTCTGCATTATGATATCATTATTGTCCAGGCAACCATAATGTTTAATATCATCGTGGCAACGTATAGCCAATCATATAGAGTAACATCATTGGGATTCAGAGGGCCTGAGCAGATCTGACCACCAGAGCAGGTCTGGTACCTACAGGGAAACTACAGTATTTGACCCATCTTTCCCACCAACCTCCCTACATCGATCTGCCTCTCCAAAAAGGACTGTCACTAGCGCCTCAAGTCAAAATCTGATCACCTTATTGTAGTTTGCAGTTGGTTGACAAGCGTTCACTAGGGTCGTTGGACAGCATGCAGCGGGTGTCATGATCTTGGCGCTGATGCCTGGTTTAATTGCTCTTTCCCTTCACCTGTTTAACTCTGCCAGGTTGCTCATTACCGCTCCTCTGATCCACCTGTTTCAAGCTCCCATTTATGCTGCCTGTTTTCCAGCCATCAGCGCCAGATTATTAGAGGTGTGTGTGAGCCTGCTTTATTCCAACGGTCTGAGCACCTGACAGTGGGTATCATAAAATTTCCCTTATTTGGAAATCCAAAACTTAACAGTTTGATTAGGAGAGAGTTTTTTTTTCAACTAAAGGAAGAATTGGAGATCAAAATGTATTGCATCATATTTATGTCAAGACGGCCAATAACAAAATAAACGTAAAACTACATTCTCGCATGAATTCATCAACAACGGCGCAAAATAATCCCACACGTGAAAGGAACTGCAGCTTTGGGAGAAGAAAAATACCTCCCTAGCTATTCCCACATAAGCTTGGGATCTCATCCTGTACGTGTGATGCCGCTACAAGTAAGTTTCTGTATGTTGCCCTCACTTTTGGACAGCTAAGCTCTTGAGGGAGCCTCTTCCCTCCGGCTGACTTTGTTCCTCACGCAAAGAAAAATGCGTTTGAGAGGTTGCACAGCGACGAACCTCTGTGACAGCTTGCTCCGGATTGGCCCGTGCAGACATGAGCACACTGGAATTACAGTACTACTTACTGAGGGATATCTGTTTTTTGGGGGGAAAAAACATTATCTACAGTCTCGCTCTATCTAAAAGAAGCTACTGTATATATCTAGTTATCCTTCTCGAGGCCCCCCATCTTTTTCTTGAACCCCCTTTTGTTTCAACTTCCACATAACATCCACATAACCTGTTACCAGTTTTATACAGAGTTCACCGAAGAAAACACACTGGTTCAGCTTATTATGGAGTAACTCTGACTGGGCATTTTATCCACTGAGCATGTTCATTTCTTTGTGTATATCTATTACAAATCACTGTTGAAAAAATGTCACACTTTCCTCCTTTCTTTCTTTTCATTTGTGTTTCCTCTCCTTTCAGGGATAGTCCTCGCTGATATCATTGAGAAGTACTTTGTTTCTCCAACCCTGTTTCGAGTCATCAGACTGGCAAGGATAGGGCGCGTACTTCGACTTATTCGAGCAGCCAAAGGAATACGGACTTTACTGTTTGCCTTAATGATGTCCATGCCGGCGCTGTTCAATATTGGCCTCCTGCTTTTCCTTGTCATGTTCATCTATGCTATCTTTGGCATGGCAAACTTTGCCTATGTGAAAAAACAAGATGGGATCGACGACATGTTTAACTTTGAGACCTTTGGGAACAGCATTATCTGCCTTTTTCAGATCAGCACCTCAGCAGGATGGGACAACCTCCTGAGCCCCATAATGTCAAGCTCTCCAGAGGAGTGTGACATTAACTTTGTCAATACTGGCACCAATGCTAGAGGAAACTGTGGGAACCCATCAGTGGGCATAGCTTTCTTTGTTAGTTACATTATTATTTCTTTTCTTATTGTGGTGAATATGTACATAGCTATAATCCTGGAGAACTTCAGCGTTGCAACCGAGGAGAGCACAGAACCTCTGAGCGAGGATGATTTTGAAATGTTTTATGAGGTCTGGGAGAAGTTTGACTCTGAAGCCACTCAGTTCATAGAGTTCTCGATGTTGGAGAGGTTTGCCGATGCTCTTTCTGAGCCGCTGCGAATCCCGAAGCCCAACAAGATCCAGCTGATTTCCATGGACCTTCCTATGGTCAGCGGGGACAAGATCCACTGCCTGGACATTTTGTTTGCTTTCACAAAACGTGTACTTGGAGAGTCAGGTGACATGGACACCCTCAAGCAGCAGATGGAGGAGAAGTTCATGATGACCAATCCCTCCAAAGTTTCCCATGAGCCCATCACTTCTACTCTGCGACGTAAAATGGAGGAGGTGTCAGCAGTCATCATCCAGAGGTGTTACAGGAGACATCTGGTGAGACGGCAAATGAAGCAGGCATCTTACCTCTACAGACAGATCAACTATGAGATTGTGGTGGATGTAGAGAATGCTCCTGAGACAGAGGGGCTCATAGCATCCATGTTTCAGCACTTTGCTCCTATAGCGCCTCAAGGTGAACAGACAGAGGAGGACATAATTTTGTCCTCACCACCATCTTATGATAGTGTGACTCAGGGGGCATGCATGAGCTCCTCTCTTACAGCCAGAACCACATCTAGAGGCCCTGAACTCAGGGACCCAGTTGAAAACTATGAGGAAACGTTTCTTTGAGACTTTATGGAGACTGACTGAGTCATCTCTGTCTGTTTAATTTACGGTAACATCCTTTGATTGAACAATAATTCATATTAAACAGATGTTTTATAGTTTTTTAAGATGCAGAGGATAATATACATTTTTTTAAGTAGCTCAAAGCCTCTATTACATTATAAAAGATGATAGAAATTACTTATTTTAATAGATTTGACTTCTTTTTGTGAACCGAATGTTAATATTTGAATTCTATAAATCAATTATGAGAATACTGACCTAATCAGTAGTTTTTATATGCTGTTTCTTAACAAGTACGCACATTTTTACTCTGTTGTTCCATATAGTGTGATTATTCTGTGTGAGTTATGGGTTTGAAATAACTTTAATTAAATCATCAAATGGTCATGCTAATAAGGCAAGACATTTTTTTTATATAGCACATCTCGGTAGCAAGACAATTCAATGTTCTGTACATGAAAAGAAAAGAAAAAGGTACATTGGAATGGCTTATAGGGAACACAAAAAAATGAAAAAGAATAAATATAAATGATTAAAATAAGGTGATTGTCTAAAAACATAAATAAAGCTCACACTTAAATCAGCTCTAAAAGTAAGTCTCCATGATGAAGTGATTTAAGTCTGATTGTAAGATGAGGGACCTGAGTTTTATTCCTGTTACACCAGAAAGGGCATCCAGTGTTTAAGCTTCGACAACTTCTAAACATGGGAGCCCGTGAAAGGACACAAACAAACGGTTATTCTGAAAAGGTTCCATATATTTTGTACTTATAAATCTGTAGACCACTTCCAAAGGAAAGGGTTAATGCTAATGCTCCTGCAAAGTGCTTTAAAATGCTTCCTCCAGATCTCCTACTATTAGGTTGCCTTCTCCATGTTTTTCTTGCATGTGTGAAAACCAGAGGTCATCTGAGTACAAAAAGTATACCGCTCAAATTTTAAGCACCTCTAATTCATCTTAACATAACTGTGTTGTCATAAAATCTGTTGTTGTATTTACATTTTTCAAATATGGGTCAGACTTCTCATATATTTGGGCATAAGCAGAAAGCAGCTGCAACTTTTGGGTGGAGGGTTTACCTGGTTGAGTTCAAAGCGTATCCCAAGGGTTTCCTTTACATTTTTTTATGACAGACTTCAGTTGACTTATTCATATATTTGTTAAGAGACTTGTTGACAGAATTTTCCCAGAAACTAAACTCAGTGTAGTAAGAGACAGTGTTTTAAAAAGCTAACTTAAGATCAAAGCCTTAAAACTCTTTTAAATATCACCATAAAAGTTAAAACGTATTTGGCTTATTGTTAGGTTTCTTCTACAGATCTGAGGACTGGATTGTACAATACAGCAATATTAACAATATTTAGCATTTACTATGCCTAACGATACAGAAACAGTGCCTACGGTGCAAAAGTATTGAAACCCCATATAAACAGAGGTGAGTAGTCTAGCTTTAGAAAGTACAGCGATTAGTTACAACTATTAGCATAGTTAATGTTTTAAACTGGGTTCCTGAACTACAGTCCTCGAGGGTTTGTGTCATGCAGCTTTAAGATCTATGCTTCAACGCACCTGGATCCATTATGAGCTCATTAGCAGAGCTCTCCCTACCTTGGCTCAATCCCAAACCTCCCCTCATGCACTCTCTTAATTATAGAGTATCACTCCCAATTCAAATATTTGGCACTTTCTTAAAGACACATTTATAAAGTCAAAACTTTTCATAGAGGACCTCCCTTTTAGGAATTAATTACATCTCTTTTTCTTTTTTGTGGGGATTTTCTCAGTGTGATGAAGATGCAGCAAACAAGCAGAACTTACATTTGAATGCCTGTTTTTCCTCCGCCATTAGGGCGCCGTTACATCCACTGCCAAATGTCACGGGGGATGAATTGTCCACCACTGAATGGTCCACCCATCCTACCCACTATGTGGTTTGAGACGAACCTTAATATTCTCGGTGGGAACGTGCAAACGAAGGGTTAGGATTTAGGGTTAGTGTTTAGAGGCCTGTTTGGGATTGGGCTTTAGAGTTTTAGGACAACAGCCTCAAGGTTTTATGTTTAAAACCACCTGTGTCATGGAACAAGATGAAAGAAAATCTGGCAGTGTTTTTGCTCTCTGGGATGGGATTTGTCTGTATATAAATACTTACACGACCAAATCCTTTTAAAATCTATAAAATGTACTCTGAACTTTAAAACCACTTCACAGGAAAAGCAGGAATAACATGAAGTGGAAAAAAATCCATAAACTTATATTTATGGAGCCCCTAAAGGAAAACCTTTCTTGTGTGCAACACATGCCCTCCAGTGTATATCAGATCATTCCTCTTGCACAACAGATACATCTCTGTATGTAAATGACAATTCTCATGCCCATCGGACACTTTTTCATGCAAACCAGATTCTTTTCCCTGTATAAAAAATAATATTCTGAATTGCTTGTGTAATGCGGTAGTATTTCAGACAACTGTGTTTAACTTTAATTATGGCTGGCTTACAATAAAAATATTAGGTTGATTGATAGAGATCACTCCTACGTTGTTTTAGAACAATGAAACAAATGAGGTCATAATTTCTATTTTGGAACACTTGATGCACTTAAAGGTATATTATCCACAGAAGAAAGTATCTGGTGGTCGCGAGAAAGTTTTCCTTTCTTTTTTTCTGTCACTGTCTCTTTAAGGGCTCTATACTTAAGCTGCTTTGTATCTGTATCGGTAAATGGGAAAGAAAGTGATTGATAAACATATGTGTTAAAGTAGCCACTGACCTATGCAATACCACACCATCAGTATCAAGCTTCCCTTATCAACTAAACTTAATTTGAAAAAAGCATTTTGCTATGACCCAAAGAATATATGAAATATTTTTTTTAAATGTCCATTACAAATTATATTTTGCTATAAGATATAGAGGCAAAAATGTGACTAATGTCTAAATTATGTCTTAATAGTATAATTTTAACCAAAGCTAAGACTTGCTGGACATTAAGGTTGATTTTATATACAGACAGACAGACAGACAGACAGACAGACAGACAGACAGACAGACAGACAGACAGACAGACAGACAGACAGACAGACGTAGAAATAGATAAAGATATATTCATGGTAAGACTAACATATTTGACAGTAACAGATGAGTAACTTTGTTTTCAGCTCAAAGAAGTATAATTAGGTAATATGATTTAAAACCTCTAAATAAATGCCATTTAATTTCTAAGGACTATGCTGTGTAGTTTTACTTTAACAAATAGAGCCTAAAATTCAGTTATTGTTTGATATTCAGTACATCAAAAGATGAATGTCTGTTGTTAAGCGGGTCGTGTGTGCTTACAATCCCTAATTCATGTGCCTGATTTTGAACTTTGCCCGCACACTCCCTTGAGTCCCTTTAGTTTGGTTGATTTAATCTGATAGATGTGGATTTTTGGAGCAAAGATAATGCACTGAAAGCACATTTTTATAAGCTTGTGAAGAGGTTTGAGGCTGTATTGTATGTAAAGCCAATTTCTAGCTATTTTTGTAATGTGTTTCTAATAAACGCTTGTTCGTTATGACTGTAGACGGGTACAACCAGATTACATAGAAATAAAAGAGATTTTTTGTATGAAATATGTCACCTTTGAGAAGATGGTTGTCTATATTGCATGATGAAAAGCATTACATTTATTGTTTTATTCAGCTGTAATAAAACTTCTCTAATCTGTGGGCTGCCTGGTTGTGAATGCATGTTGCAAAAGAAAGAAAGGTGTATGTATTACATTCTCCCACAGATCAAATTCATGCTCTATTTCAGCAAGGTAGAAAAATAGAAAAATCAAAATTTAACACGGGTGCAAATTTGGATTTGGCCTGGAAGAGATTTCCTATCTGTGGTTGTCAGGGTGGTCAAATCCAACTCTGAGCAGCTGGGATAGACAGATAATCTGAATGTAAAAAAAGGGGGAAAAAATCACTTGTTTTAATTACACATTCACATACACACACACAGATACTGTCTTTTTTCCCCAACCCACTCTTTCACACGGGCACATATACATACAATCTGCATGTGCAATTATATGAATAAACATCTCTATCACATGTACTCTTTGCCATCCATCCTCATAATTATGAAAAATTTAATTTGGATCCATTTTCAAAAAGCCCTAAAAATGTGACCTGGCTGGATGAGCCTTGGAAACGGATCTGAATTTTATGAGCATTTGTACATGTGGTGGAGATTAAGGCTTCAGCAGTAAGGGAAATTATTTGTTTAAAAGATTAGAAAGGCACTATGTCTGATTACAAAATGTAACACCATGCAGGAAAACACAGTCATGTAACTGTAATAATTTGGAAATCAACTGTGTACATAGTGAGCAAGCCAGCATCAGTGACATTAAAAGAAGTGCATACTTGAGTTTAAAAAAGAAAAACAAAATATTGAATTAAATGTCATTGGTTACATTCCCAAAACACATTGCCCTCGGAGTAATCTGTAGTTGGAGTGCCAACCTATAAGTCTGATGCAAATCAAAGACCCACCCATGGTTCTCCTGGGTTGGTGTAGTCTTTTCTGTGTATGGGCTTATTACACCACTGAACCAACAGGCCATGTAATCCTGATGAGTGTGCATATGTAATTTCGTTTTAATTAATTCAAATAGATTAATTCTGATTCATTAATTTGGGATTTGGGGTGGGGGTGGGGGTCTTGATATATATTTCAATTTGGCTGATCATTTCTTTTTTATAATTACCTTTTCCTTATTAGAGTTATACCTTTGGAAAGCTTGTCCCACTGCAATGTTGTAAAAAAAGATGCATTTTTGGGTTGAGTTCAGTTTCAAATCCTCCATGTTAATACCAAACAGGTTTTTCTTGGGGAGGCATTTGCATCAGTGGGTCGGTATCTCCCTTCCTGGAAAAAAACAAAGCTGTCCTCATTACACAATGTTAGTTCAGACAATTTAGCAGAGAATGTCCAAGATTGGAAAACAAATACTTGGGAGATGTAATGAGCAGCAGGATGGATGTGGGACTGCTAGGTGGAATCTATGCGGGGATCTGAGGGAAGGGGACTAACCAGCATGAATAGAGCTGAGCACAGAAACCTCAAAACAATCAAACCAAAGGGGGAAAAAA